TATCTGGGGGTAATGAGGGTGTATATATAATGCCCATGCTCTGCGCGCTCTGTGCGCTCTGTGCGCCCTGCACCAACAGGGCCAGCAGGGCCTACAGAGCCAACAGGGCATACCACGTGACTCAGCCTTGTTCTCCTATGGATCCCCCCACGTGCCCAACGAGTGTGATGAGTCGTGCTCGTGCGGCTCGTGACCGGTCTCCTTCAAGGCTGTGTCCAACAACGTTCTTCTTAATTAGTTCATACTATTTAGATTATTACTAGAAACCCTAACCTAGTTAGACCTTAGTAGGATCTCTAACATAGAAGAGGCACTCCTGAACGTTTCCTAGCAACGTTACTCATCGCGAGGTCGTCCTGCTATAAATTGCGCTGGTGATCAAACCACCTGTCAAAACTGGTCTGATACTCGATCTGTCTTAATTAGCCTTCTATGCTAACTGATAGTAAATCTCATGACACTATTCTCTGCGAATTTAATGCACCATCGCGGTCTACCTTCTATGTTGGCTCTCCCGATATCGGCCAAGTCGCCTTCCCTGCACTAATTCATGGCACCGATTTGTAGGGAGCATAAAGATATCTGAAACTCATAGAACGCGGTCCTGAGAGAGGCCGAACTGGCGGTTTTCCTTCCTGACCGGACCAGCATGTTGTGGGGGTGGCAGACGTGGGTTAATCAATCCAATGGTGAGTAATGATCCCCCACATGCCCTAAACCCTCTCAGAGCCGATCGTCATCCAGGGTGACCGTTGTTGTTTTTAACTTGACCCATGTCACATGCATGTTTAGATGGGAAGGTGCACTAGGGCACGGCTTGGCATGGCACGGCTACTTCGCCTCGTCTACCTACTCTTTTCCTCGTTCTCTTATCCCCCCTCTTCAGAGACAGCCTAACTAACAACACATAGCTAGATAGATAGCTAGCTAATTGATTGAGCTATGTATTACAGCTAATCTCCCGCTATTGCGGTGGTTCCCTCTTGCTTCTTTCCTCCTTCCATGTGATAGTCCCACTCTTTGTCTTATCAGGCTTCTCGTCGAGTGCTTGACTCAATCTACTCTGCAACAAGGACTGCCTGTCCTGTCCGTTTCTGCTTCGATCGAGACCTGGCAGCAATATCAGCAGCAAACATGATTGTCAACATGGATCTGGAGACCGACTCGGATCAGATTGCCATCCCAGCGGTTTACATGCGTGGAGGTTCTTCAAAGGCCATTTTCTTCCATGCACGCGACATTCCCCCTGCCGGAAAGAAACGAGACAGGTTGCTCAAACGTATCATCGGCGCTCCGGATCCACTGCAAATCGATGGAATGGGTGGGGCAAAGGCTATAACATCAAAAATGGCTATTATATCTGAATCCCGGAGAGACATGACCGATGTTGATTACGAATTTGTGCAAGTTGGTGTCGCAGACGACGAAGTGAAGTACAACATGGCCTGTGGAAATATTTCAGCCGCCGTCGGGCCTTTTGCTGTGGATGAAGGCTTGATCAAAACCTTTAGAGAGGGGAAGGGACCACCGACTCCGTCTGACAGTACGACCTCTCAAGCCAACGGACTGAGCGGACTCGCGAAGACGCAAGCAGAGCCAAGGTATCAGGAAATCCGGATATACAACACCAGCACCGAAAAAAATTTCATTGCACATATTCCTGTCAATGCAAATGGAAAGAGCGTCTCTAAAGGCAAATACCAAATCGCTGCGGTTCCAGGATCAGGTGCACCGATCATGCTCGACTACCGTGAAACTTTAGGAGCGGCTTTAAACAAAGGACTATTTCCTACTGGGAATCCTAAAGATGAAATAAATATGAGCAATGGCCGCCGCGTCGGGATAACAATCAGCGATGCAGGAAATATATGTGTTTTTGCGCTTGCAAGAGATCTGGACATCACTGGTCATGAGAGTGCTTCAGAGTTGACAAGAACCAAGCACCTCATTCGTGCCACAAGAGAATTGCGTGGCCGTGCCGCTCAGATGGTGGGAATGTGTGCTGACTGGAATAAGGTCGATGAACAGTCCCCATTTTTACCCATGCCCGTACTTATTGCAGATCCAACCCATAGAGCAGGCTCAGGCGCCCACGTTTGCGGAAGGCTCTTCTTGGACAACATGTGCCACGAGAGCATGGCCGGGACCGGGTCTGTGAGCTTCGCAGCTGCAAGCAGGGTGGTGGGATCTGTAGTGTACAATCTTATTGGGGCGGACGCTGCAAAGGAAACCACACTGAACATTGAGCATCCTATGGGCATCATGCCCATCGCCGTCGAGGTCGACATGATCCACGAGGATGGAGGTGTACCAAGATTCCTGACGTTATCCTTTATTAGGACGGCAAGAAGATTGATGGACGGCTCAGTGTACGTACCAGCTGAGGTCTTCGAAGACGAGGAGGCGTCTGTGGACGCCTAGGTCTGACTTCGGTTCACGCGAAGTCGATATGATAATGTATTACAATAGGTAAGCTTTGGCCGAAAACACTTTTTGACTGCCTGATCCGAAAATCTTTGCTCTATGGCTCATTCTCATATCCCGGGAAGAACTTCACCGTGAGACTGTAGAGATGGGACTTCAGCAGCGTAATTTTTGTGAACCTGGACACATATTGAATGTCTCGGTAACGATCGAAGTGGCGCTCGCGTAGTTCCTTTCCCTGAACGGAAACGATCAAGGATACGCTCGCACAGTTCTGGCACATCCTCGAAAGTTAGGCGAATTTATGTCTGTGTTCCCTCAGACAGGCGTTCCGGCTGCCTCTAGCCAGAACATATGGTCTGACCGAGTTGTTACTGGCCTCTAACTAGTGCGTCCACCAAAGTGCCAGGGTGAAAACAGTCACGGTATACTTGGACATGCTCACCAAGACTCGCAGGTTCGATCTCTTCTTGATGACCTGTTGACGAACCCCAAAACTCACGAGGAGAAGGGCTGCGAGGCCAGCTGAACGAACAACTGAAATCGGAGGGACCGCATGGTATACCTCATTTCGTTTGTAGAAGGTGGTACTTTCAACGTAGTCGGCTCTAACACTTCTGCCCTTGGATTCCCCACAGTGGTAAGTGCGAGATAAGGCAGTTTCCAAAATCCGACGACAACACAATCACGGGCACGACTTTCTCTCGAATGTGTGGGGAATGAGTGGGGATAGACCATACTGTAGAGGGCCGCAGAGTCCTCAGATTTCTGTGTATATGTGTGGAGATGGGCGCACCGACTTAGCCCCGGCAAATGACTTTGCGTTGAAGGCTACTTCTCGAACATAGTCATCGTTACGGTAGTGGCACAGCCGTAGATTCATCACCAAGCACAACCAGGTCTATAATATCATATCCTTAGAGACCATAACTTGCTACTGGCGACACCGAAGATGACAGATAACTACATCTTCTTGACTGGTGCCACTCTACTCCTTTTCAGCATCGCGTATCATCTTGTTTTGCCATGGCTCTCTCCACTCAGCAGGGTTCCCGGACCTATTTTGGCGAGATATTCACGGGCTTGGAAATCATACAAGCTCCTCAAAGGAGATTTCGAAAAGTTGAATATTGAACTGCACAAGAAATACGGTCTGTTGACACCAATCTCGAGAACCGGTTGCCATGACGCTCACCACCTGGCCTCTACCTAGGTCGGGTTGTCAGGATTGCTCCAAATGAATATAGTATCAATGACTCAACAGCCATCAAGCTACTGTATGGCCACGGAACCAAGTTCCTCAAGGTATGTCTCCCCTTTTCCAATCCGTATTCGCCAATCTAAGAGACTCCAGACATCGTGGTATTTTGCTTCTGGAGGCGTGGACCCCAAAAAAGCTAGCCTATTTGGTGCCACAAACCCTGTTTACCATGCAAACGAACGGCGAAAGTTCGCTGCAGTATATTCCATGACTACTCTCTTGACGCAAGAGCAATATGTGGATAACTGCACGCGTCTCTTGATGGATGTGTTTTCCGACATAGCCGAAAAGGGGTCTCAGATTGATTGGGCATTCTGGATGCAGCTATACGCCTTAGATGTGATTGGAGAGATCACTGTGAGTTACAAGCTCGCGCATTTGGCTGTGTAGGTTGACTAACCTATCTTTCCCCAGCTTGGAAAGCGTTTCGGTAATATCGAGGCAGGCAAAGACGTGGGAAACATCATAACCGCCCTGGACAGATATTTTCGATACATGTCCTTTGTGGGTGACTATTCCCAGTGGCACCCTTGGCTTACCGCAATGCAGCACAAGTTTTTACCGGAGCACCAAAGACTGAGCCTCAAATACATCACGGACTTTACAGCTAATCAAGTTCTACTTCGACAAAGCGAGACGGAGGATACTGGAAAAGGCGATGTACTTTCCAGACTGATCCAGGTACATAAGGATGATCCCAAGAAGATCAGTGAGCACGACATCTTTCAAGCCTGCCTCGGGAACATTGGGGCTGGGTCTGATACCACTAGTATCACACTTGGTGCAATCTTCTACTATCTTCTAACAAACCCGGAGGCAATGGACACACTTCAAAATGAAATTCAGCTTAAGAATCAAGAAGGGGGTCTGTCTTTTCCAGTGACTTTCGCCGAAGCACAGCAGCTTCCTTACCTCCAAGCAGTTTTGAAAGAGGCAATGCGGTTGCATCCCGCGGTTGGGTTGATATTACCACGCCAGGTTCCGGCTGAAGGCGCGGTCATCGCCGGGGTTGCATTTCCAGCGGGTGTACGTCTCTAGCCAGTGTTAGTCGGCATTGGGAACTCACTCATGACGATAGGCGACTGTTGGCGTCAATCCCTGGGTTGCACACTACAACGAAGAGGTATTTGGACACGATGCGGACAAATTCAGGCCAGAAAGATGGCTGAGCGACCGGGAGACTGTGCAAGAGCTCGAACGGAACCTGCTCACCGTAGGTTGAATGCAAGGCCCCGGTAAAGGGAAAGAAAATCACTCAACTAACTCGATGCCCTTTACAGTTTGGACAAGGCTCTCGGACCTGTATAGGCAAGAATATCAGTCTGATGGAGATTAGTAAGTTGGTGCCAACGTTTCTGTCCCGGTTTGAGATAGAGCTCGTGAATTCCTCGGGGAAATGGCAGACCTGGAATGCTTGGTTTGTGAAGCAGTATGATTTGGAGGTTCGGGTCCACAAAAAGAAACAGATCTCATCTTGACCAACTGTTTTCATCAAGAGTGACCAAGTATCACGCCAAGTGCTAACAATCGATCGAGGCTATACTCGCTGTGTGATTGTGGCATATAATTCTACGTACAAAACCTAGCGAATATTCTGTTTGGATAGAAATACCTGCTGGCGAAATTTGCACCTCAAAGTGATACACAGTCTAATACCCAAAGAGGCCGGTTTGTGTTGCGTAAAGTCTTTTCGTACCAAGATTAAAATACCACAGCAAAACTCTCAATGGTACTTAGCGCTTTCTCTGAGTATCCATACTCATCTTACCTCTTCATGATGATGTCGGGCTATGCTGACGTGGGTAGTTGACGACATTGATTAGCGCGGGTGTCAGGTACTCGGAATCAACTACCTTCGAGCCACGTTTATATCACTCACAGCCAGGTTACAACAAGCACAGTAGAGAATCTAGCTGGGACTTGTGCCAGATTCTCCCATAAATGGCTGGCCAATTTCGAAATACGAGACGCATTTTCAAAGGCTATCGCCTAATCACAGCACTGAAGAAATCACGCATGTTTCTGCCTTCCATCGTCTGTAGTAAAACCGGGTCGTCATTTGCCTGATTGAAGCAAGATCCGACTCTTGATCTGAGGGCACCGGTTTGATATCTTCTAGCTTTCTTGTAGAGGTTGAGATGACGATGTCTAGAACTGCGGAGGCTCCAATAACTGCTTAGATAGGTATGACATACTTTACTGCGCTGGCCTTTCCTTCCTTAAGGTCTCTGAGAGCTTGTTCCACCGCCCCTAATCCTCCCTTGCGAATCTCAAAAGGGTGGCCTGAGAATTTGCCATTTTGCAAAGCATAAGTGAACCAACGTGAGAAAACGAATGCAAGCTCACGAGAGTCGCCCAAGCCGTCTTGATTATGGGCAGAGCCAACATTAGTCGTTGTGGCTTTGATCGGCGATACGTTGAAGGTGTTCGGGAAGAGCCAGGTAATGTGGCCATCGGATGGAACCACCTGGCGCAGTACTTCGGCGCTTTGCTCCACGATAACACAGTCCATAGCATGCTTTGCAACGCGCTTCTCAGTGTCTGTAAGGTACGCTTCGATACTTTTGACCGTCTGTGCCGCTCCACCACGATAGTCGATAATGATGTCGCCTTTGCTTTTGTCTACCAAGGTCTCCACGAAGGGAATTCCCTTGCCAGCAATTGCGATGATTGGGTGAATGTTGGAAAGCTGCGCTAATTTGATTGCAAACGCACCAACTGCAGTGCTTGCGCCGTAGACAATTAGAGGTATTGAATCCGTTGCAGGTGACCATGGTAGAGGCAGCAAGAGTTTCTCGTACAAGGCCATCACTGCCGTCAAGCCTGCTAGCGGGATAGTTACTGCTTCTAGAGGATGGGCCAGCATATATCAGCTCCTGTCACAAACACTTCAGGGAGTTCTCGCTGACCTTCAAAGGAGGTTTTTGTTGGCAGATGGAACGTGGTCCAGCTCGGCGCGATAGCGTATTCTGCATATGAGCCTCCTGGTGTAGCCATGCGGTGAAAACCCGCAACACGTTCGCCGGGCTGCTCGCCGTTAGTATCGATGTTGAGCGTCTAGTAGTTATCCGAGATAGACCTTGAACTCCACTACGTTCTTGCCGACCTTTTCCACTATTCCTGCAATATCATCCCCTTGGTTCAGGCCATTTCGGGCGCGGGCAAGCATCGAACCATCGTCGTGCGGATAGCCCTGAGCGAAATCAGGCAGCTTCCAATCCTTGGGATTAGTGCCCGACACCACAACTTTGATGAAGACATCGTCTTCTCCGGGCTCTGGGATGGAACTATCAACGATCTTACTCGATGGACCGGCAAAATTGATGACTTCCTTCATTTTTTCAAACGTTTTGACGACGTAAGCAATCCTTAATGGGCTTTCTCGCAACGGCGGCCGACCAAAAGACCTAGTTTATACCGTTGTTTTAGCGGAATTGGCGTAAATGTGCTGAATACTGTTTTGAAATTGTTAGTGATGATCTAGACGCACCATCCGCTTGCTGACAAAATGACATGTGGGGTTGAAACAGCCTCACAGAACGACCTCCATTGAGTATGTAAGCACAGCCTATTGTGCAGGCATAATGATACTTTGTACAAATATAAAAAGAGCCCAAAATCCTACAGATCTATGCGCCTAGGTGGAACCTTGGTCACGCAACAAGGTGGAGTGATTGCGCTACCATTGATGTTCTTGATTGTGTGAATTTGAGAAACTTACCAAGCCATCTCAACATCTTCTCTACGATGAGTGAGCGAATGGGTATATGTGATTCAAGCTCGCAGAAACCGACGCAGACAATGAGCTCCCGTACATACATGATTCACACCCGCTATGTATGCCTCTGCTAGAGTAATGTGTTCGCTAAGCTGGTTGTATTTTGATTATCTGCCAAAAAATCTTGCTGGAAGGCTGTAGGCGCAAGTCTGGCTGACACACGATGCTATAGCCTTGCTTGTAGCGTCTCCCATATTAGATCATGCCCGCAGCATGAACTGCCCTATCTCAAGTGTTGTTTGATTTCTTTACTTATTTCCTTCCAAAATGAGCTTTTCTCGTGCTGCACTTCGTACTTTAAAGTCAGCCTTGAAGGGCATCGGCCCGAACAGCTGCGCGGCGCGGTAACTCCAGAGGCTGGGCGCAATTCATTTCCCGGTAGCAGTGTCGACCGGGGCTATGATGTCAAAGGCCCACAGGAGACGGGCAGTCAATATAAAGAGGGAGTTTTCGGCCAACGTATATCCAGGGCAGACGCGTCTCCCGGCTCCAAAAGACCAATGATCTCTATCGCAAGGGTCTGAGACATTGATACATTCTCCAGCGCTGAGTTCAAGAGCACGTGTTCCTAGGAAGCGTGCGGGATTGAAGCGTCCCGGCTCCGGGTATCGTTCCGGGTCATAATGCAGTGCCCTACTGGAAAGTCAGCGTCCTAGTTATGACATACTGTAATATCATACCATGTATTTCCCACGATGACAGTGCCAGCAGGGATAAAATAATCCTTGTACACTACATCTCCCTGGCTAAGGTCAATTCCTTGTCGTCGCATATTCTCGCAGTCGCAAGACTCACTGTACTTAGGTGCGCAAAATGGTCATTGGAGACACTACGCCAACGCATAACCTCTTTAACCATAGCGCGGATATAGGGCAGCCGTTGCGAATCCTCAAACTGGGGCAGACGATCACCAACCACAGAGTCGAGCTCTTCGTGAGCCGCCTTTACAGTTTCAGGGAATGCAACGAGACCGAGGATGAGGCTGTTAAGCGTGTTTTGGGTGCTATCTGCAAACAAACCAGAGCATTAGCACGCAAAAATGCCCCTATCGCGTCAAACTCACCACTTCCTGCTTCAATCAGGGTGCCGGCAACATAGGCGGCTTCGATTTCCGAGATACCCATCTTGGGATAATCCACCTCCATGAATTTTTTGACGAAACACCCGGTATGGATTCCGGAAGCAAGCTGCTCCTTGAGACCATTCCACAAACCCATCCAAAGTTCCACCTCCTTCTGATGATAAGGCTCGTACTTAGCTCGCCACCACTGCAGGAACTTCGGTAGTTTCTCTAGGATGGGATACTTATCAACCATAAATCTCGTCCCGAAGACAACTCCAAAGACCTGTGCCTCCTCAAAGATGGCCTGGTAGGTAGGGTCGTCCAAGCTGGTAACTCGGCGGCCGTACGTGGAATACATGATCACACTAGCCGTGTACCGTCTCACATGAACCAGGAAATTCTCAGGATCCGTCAATACATCATATAGATAGCGTCGAGACTCAAGGTCTTGTGAAGGTTTCATCTTCTCGGCAGACGTGATCGACAGGCACTGGTGGACAACGCTACGCACAGCACGCCAGTGCTTCCCATACGGCTATATCGGTAGCCAGGTAAGCGACTGCAGTGGGAAACTGGGTCTCAGATCTGGGCATACCATGAAGAGCATACGAAAGCCACCAGAGAGAACGTCCATGGCAACACGCAGACGGGCTTTGCTTCCTGTCACAGTTCCATGCTTGTCGAATATTTCCTGTTCTGATCAGAATTCGTCCGTCGCAAGGTTTGCATAGTAGTTGGCTCTACCTTGACGGCCTCTGGCAAGCAGACGATTACCCACCTCTCCATGCCCTGCCAAATTTGATAGATCTCGCCGTATTCCCGAGCCCATTTCACCAGTTGGGTCTCGCTAGGATTGCAGGTGGCGTTGCCGTTCCAGATGTGTGAATGGCCAACGAAGGGGCGAGCGCCGGCTGGGGTCGGAGGCTCGCGTAGCCCTTTCGGTATTCTGCCCTTGTGACGGAACAATGTGTACGACAGGAGAAGAGACAATGCAAGCAAGTAGGAGAAAAGCAATCACCACATGCATCGACTGGAATGTAACGCCCTCGACCAAAGATATTGGTTTCGACATGACTGCTATCGCTCTCTGGCGGCTTGAAATCGTCGACTGCGCACTTTGAACGATGGCACTGGACGATAAGCGACATTATAAGCTGGATTGAACGACAGGGAATTGCTAAGGCTTGGTGGGGGACTGGGGGCTAGTTAAGCCTTTGTGGGGCAATCGCCCGAGTGAGTGCGGCCGTCCTAACGACGGTGCATGTGTACAGTAATCCCCCGAAAGCCGGGATTGGGAGAGGCTAGTGAGGCTCTCGGTGCAGACACGCGAGGCGGCGAGGGAGCCAGTAACAACTTCTGGTCTTGGGCATGTCACCTACCCTCTCATTGTGACCGACTCCTACAGCTGTTCATTCAGCTCTCTGGAGCCTGCTTCATCAGAGGACCTTGAGAGAATCTGCGGCTATGGATTGCCCCTTCTTTGTGCTAGAGTTTAAAAGGTGGATTTTCAGGGGCGACCTCGACGATCGCCGTGAAAAACTGGAGAGGGTAGAAATGGTGAACCCGAAACCCAGCACGCTTGAAGATCGCTTCAAAATCTTGATAGGTTCTTTCGAATCCGCCTTGCATAGCCACGGAGTGTAATTGCATTACACTCGTGATCTCAACGAAAGATGACTGTCTCTGAGGCTTCGTTTCTGATATCGGCCGGTTCTCCGATCCTTTAAGCGTCGGAAGCGAGGGAACTATGACTTCGTTGATGAGCAGTCTTGCCTGTGGGTTCTCCAACATCCGAGGCTTTAGACGTTGCAGGATTGTCACACAGTCGTCGTCAGAATAATCGTGCCTACATGGGAAGGCATCAGCGACGGCAAAGGGGTGTGGGACTCTTCACAGAAATGCTTACAGGACCGCCCGCATCCAGTAGACATCGGCTAGCCTCGTCTGCTCGATAAAGTAATCATGTTCCATGATCTCAATTCCCCCGTTTTCCAATGCTCCCGGCACCATTTGCTCCATCGTCTAGAGTGCCGTCAGCGAATTCGAAGTAGCATAGGTATGCTTTTTGCTTACCGCCCGCGTTCTCGGTAAAATTGGCGCCAGGTCCTGACAGATAATATGAAGCGAGGGTTCCTTGATTTTGAGATGAGCCATGATCCCGCCATCTGCACATCCCATGTCGCAGACTTGTGCCTCTTTGCCCCAGCGACTCCAGTCGAAATGCTGGACGCTTTCGCGAGCTGACGTCTCGCTCAGCCAAGGCAGTCCAGCCATCAGGGTCATTAACTCGTCGTGATTCCTTGGGTCGAAGACATAGTCAAAAATGCCTATTGGTGCTCCATGAGCTTTGCTGAAAGCCGACTGGCGAGGATCAGAGCTGTGCATCAATTCTTTGTCAGTCATTAACGGAAGGAGGCCCGGTAGGGCTTTGCCAGAAGTTTGAGCACTGCTCTTGTGTTAGTTGGAGGGGTCTGCATTGGGGGCCATTCACCGACTATGACTCCATCATTGCAGCACCGCCCCCCTTGGTCACAAGCTCTCTGCTCTGGCGATTGTTTGTGAAATAAGCCCCCTCGTGCTCCTCGAAGACATAATGTGCCGTCAAGGTCCGAAGGACATTGGCTCTAGGGATAAGCAAACGTGGAAGGATTTCCTGTTCTTAAGCTCACCCAATTTTGTCGCATCTGTGTCCACCTTGGCCGCGATCTCGACTGCAGTCGCCTCCCCGCCCAGTTCCTCGATTGTGTCTGCTACCTTGAAATGACTGACAACTGCTACTGCTGCTGGCAATGCTCCTGCGAAGGCAAGCTGTAAGAGCTGCATGCGTCGAGGAACGAGCAAGGAGATCAGCTGCTGGCAGTCTGTGACCAAGCTCTGGGCCAGGGCGCAGACATCGTCGCCTGGTCTGCTTAACCCATCAAATGGTCCTTCTACCGCATGGTTGAGGTAAAACGCTCGATCGCCTAGATGGTTCAGCATTTGGCCGCCTTTGCCATTGATGCTGTCAAGTAGATTCTGGAAAAGAGACATTTCGTCCAGGGTCGCTGAAGGAGACACGTGGAATGACAGCCCTGAGATCGTCCCACTATCTGGACCGTGGTAGAAGACCAGTGTCGTGCCACTCGCAGAATATGCCCCGGGAGCACTTTTTCAACACACACGGCTGTTTCGGCCCCAGGGAGCTTCCAGCCGCCAAAGGGTGTTTGATGGGGTTTGGGTGTGGAGTTGGAGCTCCCCCACATGCTCGGACTCACGGTTTACCAGAAGCAGAATATAATAATTGGATTTTCCTCTTTGCCTTTGCTTGAGTACCAACGCTCGGAGGCCGGAGGCCAGAGGCCTACACATTCCACATCCTCGACGACCATGATTTCCAAGCGCGGCTCAGGCCCTTGGGGCACGGCACATCCCAGGTCCAGTGGAATCAAAGTTATAGTAGTAGGCTGTGGCTTAGGGGGGCTGGCGGCAGTTATTGAATGCCAGCGAAAGGGGCACACCGTGATTGCTGTTGACCAGCAACCATCATTGCGCCCAATTGGTAAGCAACTCAACACCCACCGTGCAACTCAACTTCTCACCACTTGCAAGGCGACAGTATAGGAATCCCGAGCAACGCATCGAGTGTTATTTGCAAATGGGGAAATGGGTCGGTGGATGCAACTCTAGCGCCTTTGATAAACCTTCCGGACGAGATGAATATCTGTGACTCGTCAGGAAAACTGTTCGTGAAGAGCAACATGGCAGGCTATGGTCGAGGCCATGGGTATCCATGCCATAGGGGAGAGCTAGCTGTGGTCTTTTATGAGTACGCCAAAACGCTACCGGGTGTTCAATTTCGCTTAGGTCATCGCATTATGGATTATTGGGAGACCGAAGACGAAGCTGGGATCACCATCAACGGGGAAAGGGTCGCTGCTGACTGCGTTATTGCGGCTGATGGTGTCCACAGCAAAGCCCGGAAGCACGTAAGTGGTGACGGTGGTGCACCACATACGTCGGGCTACGCAATGTACAGAGCTTGGTTCGATGCAAAGGACGTAGCCACGGATCCCAAATCAAGGTGGCTTCTGGAAAACACAGAACGCAGAGATCGCGACAATACGTGGGTGTTTGTTGGAGCAGATATCCACTGCATGCTGGGCACTGCGAAAGGAGGCAGGGAGGTCTTCTGGATGTGCACCCACAAGGTAGGCAACAGTGTCCACGACGTGATAACGGAAGAGATCTGACATGAATACGCAGGACGTCTTCGACATTGGCGAATCGTGGTCTTTCCCTGGAAAAGTTGAAGATATGCTCAACTATATATCTGACTGGCCGATTTTACCAAAGATTAAAGCTGTGGTTGAGAAAAGTCCCCCCGAAAAGGTGATTGACTTCAAGTTGCTTTGGCGTGATCCGTTGAAAACGTGGATTTCCAAGGGCGGGCGGATCATGTTGATTGGAGATGCAGCACACCCATACCTGCCTACGTCTGGTCAAGGCGCAGGACAGTCGATCGAGGATGCCGCCACCGTTGCCATAGCTCTCGAGCTCGCAGGACGCAACAATGTAAAAAAAGGATTGAAGGCTGCCGAGAAATTGAGGTACGTATTTAACTGGATGGGCTATCATCTCACCACGTCGATGTCTGATTCCATGAAAAGGTACCAACGAGCATGCAAGATTCAGCGGATGGGCGTCGAAACCCGAGATGCGTGGCATAAAACTGACTGGGCGGCTGTCGGAAAGGACACCGCACTGTTAGAAATGCCACGTCCGGGATGGATTTTCGGATTTGACTGCCAGGCCTACGCATATGAGGAATTTGATAAGGCCATGCGAGCCGTTGAGGGAGGACCAGAGTACCAACCGCACAATATCCCCCCGGAGGATATGAATCACCGGACGCAAGACTTCAGGACCGGTGAGGCTATTACAAATAAGGCACTCGCCGCACCGTTGGCCATAGAGGAGCAGCTAGGGAAGGCGTCTGATGGGGGTGCGTTCTTGAGAAGTAAGCTGTAGAGCTGTAGTACAAGACTAATAATGGGGCTATAAAACCTTTATGGAGCAAGAAGCAGGCATGCTGGAATTTGCGCTGTCCCAGAGATAAAAAGCTGAGTTTAAGGCAAAACTCTGGATTCACTAAAGAAAGCTGCACTGGGTCGTTGTCATTCGCGTTCTCGTCATGGAGTGGCTGCAGCCACACTGAATGAGATATAGCATGGTGACCCGACAAAAGACCTTTGAGACCAGAATGAACCTGATATTTTCTTGGGCAATGGCTGGTTAAACGCTGGCTCGAAAACGTCGAATGAGCATAATCGCCGTCACCAGATCCTTTTTGTGAGCCTTGGCGAGTTGCAGGTAGGCATCGCAAATCGACAACTCGCGTTGTGCATTGCAATACCTGGAAATGAGCGATTGCATCGGAACAGGAACCTCTGGCCAAGTCTCGATATTCGGGTGTGACTGTTTAGCTGCCGACCGCAGAACGCTAAGGTTCCACTTTCCGAACTCTTCAAATGTTGCGGCTTGGCAGATCCTGCCCGTACATGAAGTGCCGAAATGCTGAAACATTTGCATGGATATCCTCGGGTTCTGCGCAATTGATGTGCGCTTCTGCCATCCCATGTGTTTACCCAGCGATCGATATGGCTCCAGCCAGCCGGAAGGCTTACTTCCCGGCGGTAACCTCATCGACAGATTGAGGAGTCGTACTGGCAAATCTTGTTGAATCCTTCAAGGTTGAGAAATAACTTAGACCTGGAATGGAAGGACAAATGAAGTCGTCGGTGCTGCGTCGTCTTGAAGAAGCAAATGCCTTTTGCTAGAGTTCTAACATTGATGCCTTACCTAGAAGGACATTTTGCTGGTGGGAGTTTGTTTGATCGCTCCTTATGGAGTCATCCAGAAATTATCGTGAATTTTCTCGCTTTCGCTTGCAGATATGCTGTCACGTGGGAGAGCCAGGAGGACGCCCATGCAAAATTCCCATAAGTTTGCTCGGTGGGAGGTGGCCAGTCTGATCGTGATGTGACATGGCTGGATGGACGTCGGTGTTTTCGCGCGATGGGGTATCTGAAGCATCGTTGACATTTGCGGGTATTAACAGGTTGCGAGGCAGTAAAACCAAGAGATTTATCGTGTTTGCTCTTGGCTAAGCTGCTCATGGAGGTTGTCAAGGTGTGATCGCATGATAGAAGCATCTGAACAAGAAGAAGTTAGCAGCAGAAGCAACAACGCGGTTGACAGAGCCGTACAGTTCCACACCCACGGAAGGATAAGAGCCCGATAACACATAAGAGGGATCAAACATTGATCTGTGTCGGGGCTACCGATCTTTTGATCGTAAAGCTCTTCAGTGATCTCGTTGACAAGGTCTTGGAGCCTTGCTTCACTGTTTAATGTGGGCATGGACGACGAAGAGATAGAGTTGGGTTCTTTATGTCTTCGCAGCCACCAGGCAAGTATTAATGCTACCACAACAGTTTATGTCAGTGGTTAGGTCCCATGAGCAGCGACAAGGGTAATGCATTCAAGATCAACTTACCACCTTCATACGCGGCCACAAGGGAGTGAGCACCAAACTGCAGGGCAGCCGTCTTCTGAAGATGAGCAATGCCGAGCTTAGCACGTACAAACCACGACTGAGCCGCGTATAGGACAGCCTTTAGAGTTAACTCACGCGACTGTGGCTGTGGATGCGGTAATGATGATAGTCGACCGCGGCTCCGAGCAAAAGTCTTCAGCGAACGCAACTCAGCGGGTAGGTAGAGGTGATAATAAGCGGACCCAAGCAAGGATAGGCAGTCGAGGAGGAGAAGACTGGCAGTCTTACTCGGCACCCTTGAGGCTTGTGGATGCTGCCGCCACAGTGACTCCAGGGATGCCAGGGTTTGTTCCATTCTAGCAATGAACGAGGCTTCTAGTTCCTCTTGGTGTCTAGGCAACAGTCGTTCGCGAAGGCATATATAGGCCAGAATTGACCCAGCAACGACCAGCAGGCCAAATGCGCTTAGCTTTTCCCGAAATGATTCGCCGGCCGAGATGGTTTGGGACATTGATAGCATGCCGAGTACCTCCCCCTCGGGGGTTAATGCCGACAAGGTCACCCATTCCGCGCTTGACCTCGCTTTCCACAATTCTTCAGAGCATGGTAGTGGGATGTCAGATTCGAGATACATCAGGATGGCAGCTGCCGGATGAAAGGAAAGGATAACACCGCTCAGGATGGAAAGCCAACCGGCAAGCCTGCAGAAAATAGTTAGAAGAACGACATTACATTCAGAACCCATTCCCAATGAACCTACCGACTACAAGTCTCCGTGGCAATCCAGGATGCCCAGTCCGACTTCGACTGGTTTTCTTGTAACTTTAGTCCATCCAAGTATTCTCGCAATAGCTAAATTCAAGTATTAGTCTTGAGCATCTAATGGGAGAAGGTGAATGTGACGTACCGAATTAGCCGAAGTTATATGCCTTTCAGCACGTCGGAAATTGGCTGTATTGTCGCTATAGGCTCCAAATTGTGCGCATAATAGTAAAGATTGTATCACTCCGATCTCCGGCGCTCGGACGGGTTCCTCTTCGTACCCTTCAATCTTGTATTTGTCAACTTCCTCATCAATGGTCTGAGAGATCACCGGAACTCACGCTATAAAGAAGATTGCAGCAGGCGTTGTATGCCAGATTGGCAAAATCGTGCTCAGAGACATGGAGGCCACCAATAGCTAGCATCGCAAGGACCAAGGCAGCTTTGTAAGCGTTAGCATGGCGGCAGTTGGATGAAGAGGGATGGGACTAGCATACGATGACTGCCTTGAACATCGAAGGTGGCGCGGTGCACGATGGGCGTGTGGGGGTCGAAGTATTCGAAATATGCGCTAAGCAACCGTATCATCCGTATACGAGTCGGGAATGTGAAGTTTGGCAGAAGGTTTTGTCGGTCAATGTCTAAAGTACGCCTCCTGAAGGTGCTGATGTCCTCTGAGGATAATTGTAATTCTTTGGGGGCAACTTTTTCGTTCTGTCGGACACCGAGAGTCCTGCTTTCTTCTAGAGATGGGGTCACCTGTCGAGTGCAGCTAAGGAGAAGCCGGTCTGGAACAGGTGTTGAATGATTTACATTCACTAAGTCAGGTGTTGGATGAAATGGGGTGATGAGGTCGACGGAGTCGCAAGGAAAACCAGGAAGCAAAGAGTCTTCCAGGAACATCAAATCGTTCATATTTAGGTCCGTGAAGTCCGTGTTATATATGTCTCGTGACATCTCCCATGACGGGGTGAGAGATGGTCCATACGATGCTGGCTCGCCGGATTGTCCGCTGGAAATGTCCAGACGCTGCGAGGAAGGCGAATTGGAGGTAAGTTCATGGCCAACACTGGATGTCGCTTGATCGGGCATTTGGGAAACAGGAAGCGTTGTTGAAGAGAGGTTGGCTGCTATCAATGTTGGGTGATTGCGATCGCTAACCCTTGAAGTTAGATACGTAGAAGGTATCACGGCAGTATCGAAAACTATGTTTGATGTCTGAAAGAAATTAGCCAAGAACGAAACCTAGGCAAGAGAGGCTAGAAGCACGTTTGGCGGATTAGAGGGTGCTCGAATCGAGCCTTTCGGGGGAAACATCAGGGGATTCCTAGCACGCGAAAATGAGTTATACAGTCCGCGAATATCTTGTCGGCCCGGAATCGACACTCACTCGGACTCCATAACCTGGACCGTACTTCCAAGAGTGGAGCTCATGTCGTTGAGGGTCCTACGGCACGTGTGAGCTGGCCCCGAGATTGTCAGGATGTCGCACTCACGAAGAATGTCTCGGCCCTGATGTATTTCCTGACAACGCAGAGTTTGATTCACTACCGCGCGATTGATGTCCCTCTCGTGCATTGACCGCTTCTTGAGTGCTTGCCACCAGGCGCTGGTGTTGAGGGCACTTCTTCTTGTGTCGTAGCAAGACATCGGCTCTGCCAAAACTTGAGCCACATGCCAGACAGCTATGTGGCTTTCTGTTTTCATCTATCAGTATGTCAGTGCTCCATGCAAAGATTTTCTGCGTGCTCGCGCTTTGCGGACCTACGAGACACAAGATGACGTTGCAAGTGCTCTGCGCGAATGAAACTTTTAGAACAATAGCTGCAGCTATAGGAACGAGCTTTCGGGCCGGCATCTCCGGTGTCTGACGCGATCAGTAGATGTCTCGAGGGTGGGAGCCTCAGGCTTACTGTTTCGAGCCATCATCAGGTTAACCGGGCTCGATCCTCCGGTGGCAAGGACTAAGGGTCCTGCGGCACGCGTCCGTCGGAAGAGAAATGATTTCACCCGCTAATCTCAGCCTGTCGTCCTCGGTGTCACCAATATGGGTACAAGCGTGGCCACAGTGTGACAGTGTTGAATGAAATGAAAGCAGAAAAGCGTTAGATAGGAGGTTGAAACTCAGTGGAGGCTCCCCTACCTAATGTCCACCCGCATCTCCAAAAAGAAAAAAATGGTGGGGTAGCTCGCATAGCCAAGCCTACACATCGCCGCCGGATCGGCCTTGGAGGCAAAGGGCCAGCGCGGATCGGGCATCGGATGCTGCAACCCCGGAATTTACCCCAGGGGGTCGAGGGGATGTCCCTGTGTTTCGGATTGGGGCAAATGCCCCCAAAGTCGATTCTAGGCTAAGCAGGTGTTGGACCAATCTAGGGGTCAATAGTTGATCGACTGAGAAGGAAGAGAAGTTCTATTTGTGACGGTAGAGGCATTAAATACCTACCTAGGTAGGTCGCTAGGTACTAGCTGATACCGCCGTGCCAAGATGTCTGTGATATTACCTAATCAGGTTAATCCAACGGCAGGCTCAGCCTCGCAGACGTGCCTTCAGAATAGAGTATACAGCAGATCTACTCGGTAGAATAGAAAGCATCGTGGCTTCATGCGTGGAGTAGCAGAGCAATGCTTGTCGCTGCCTGGAAACCGGTTCCGGCAATCAACTTGGAGGAGATGTCTCATTGAGATGCAGAGTGTCCACGCTGCGTTTGGACAAGACGTGATCACTCCCGCGGCCAGGGACCCCGGCGTCTGCGCAGGCGTAGGTTTACACCAACAAATCGCCGTAGGATCGCGCCTGAGTTAGCGATCTTGTCTCGATTTTTAGATCAGACGTCCAGCCTAATTAGGAGAGGAAGCCCTAGAACACTATCAATGCAATAGGGCGCCTATCTACGATCTTGCTAACTTGATGCTGGGCAAAGATTACATTTGACCGGTAGGACAATCTTACCGGAAGTGGCCCTTTTGTTGATCCTCACGGCGTCTTTTACGCCCCCGAGCGTTCCATTGAGGCTCCACCTGGCTCTCGACGCATACATCCGATGTGCGTCGAGGAGGTACGAATACCAGGCCAGCCCAGGGGATCTGATTCTGGGCTCCCCAGCCCCACTCAATATATTCGATAAGATAGATCGTGATGCCGGGAAACATATAATAAAGACGAAGTTCGGGCTCGTAAATGTTGCGATTGTTTTCTTGTCAACCATTTGACGAAGAAGTCGTTGGTGCCCCGGAATATCATGCCGATCATGGCGCCAATCCATGGCGCTATCCAGATGTTTCCGGCTCCATTGGCAGAAAAGTTGTATGGAGGTGGAAGAAGAAGTGCTGCAGATGTGTAAGCGATGCCGACGGGCCATGACAGTGTTAAGCCTGAAATAGCAACCCAGAAGATAGTTGGGTGAAAGGTAAGTGCCACCGTGCGGCAGATAAAGGTAAATGGCTTGAGCTGACCCTTCCCGAGTAGAGACTAAGCTGCCGAAGGTAGGTTTTCTTGGGAATAGGTTCCGCGCTTTCAATGGTGTCGACGTGCTCAGTCTTGACAGGCTCCTCGGGCGCCTGATTCATAATTTCTTGTTCATCCTGGTGAGCCAAAGCGTCAACATGCTCGCGTGCATAGGCGCAATCAGCGAACAAGAAGAAAGTGGCCAGCGTCATGATAGCTTCGGCGATTGCGAACCCACCAAAGCACCATTTCATGCCGTATCTCATCGCGATTTGTGTGGCAAGAGGTGTGCCTAGGGTGACTCCTGTCTGCGAGCAGAGCAGGAAGATCGCAGCGCGCTTTCCACGTTCATGTAAGAAGGATAAGTCTGGGACAATGGAAAGCCCGTTCCCCTCGAACATGATTTGACCTGCACCCGAAAGTATTCTCGCACCGAGTAATGACTTGTATGAGCTTGCGCACGTGGCCCAGGCATCAGCCACTACCAACGATAACCCCGACACCACAAACAGACCCCTTTTTCCGAAGGAGCGCGCTAGTGCGCTGTCGAAAATATGGCGGTAACCAAAACTACCACATATGATGCATCTCGGCGCCATTGGGACTAGTTCAAGGGGACGGACGGGTCATCGGAGGGCTGAGGGGCAAGAACGACTTTCCCGTCTCGCGAATGTTTCACGTAAATCGTCGTATCTCTGTCTGTGGATTCGACTGAATTGTCGTCGAATAGGTGGACTGCGCCTTGCACGACATCCTGCTTTGGTTCCAAAACTCCAGTCCCCATTTCAGGTGAGGCATATAAGGACAGAACGTATTGTTGAAGGAATTTGAAATTTAGACGGCTTCGAACACCCACCAAGACACCCAGGACTTACCTTGATTATAGGTCCGAGTTCTTCGTGGCTAGATTTGCTGCCAATTTAGCAGGCAGGTTATTCCGCACACGTCGGCTTGTACATCGGAACCCCAGCGGGGGTACAGATATGTCGGTCATGGGCATGAAGTTCGGAAAGCTGCTTGAAGCAGCTGGCTAATCTAGGACTACCCACTCCATCTTTGTGGGGTAGACCGATTTGACGGCTGCTTACTCCGGGCGAAGGCAGACAATGCCATCGTGGGGATTTCTTAGGCTGCAATATATATGAAATCTTGGTATGAAGGGTTGCAGATAGAATAGGTGGCAGGAAGCAAGGTGGGCGAGCCCTACTGTGGCCTCGTGTGCGTTGAAGTCGCCCTGTAGACCCTGAGGGTGGGCAAGGGTGGGTTACCCGAACACGTTTCCTGTTTGCGCGGTTTGTGCTGTTTGCGCGGTTTGTGCTGTTTGCGCGGTTTGTGCTGTTTGCGCGTATGTCTTGGCACCGCAGAACTCCATCGGAAGGTCTGTTGCCACGAGGCAGATTTCTCTCCCGAGTTCAATCAATCATGTTATCAAGGACCTTTCGTCCATCTTTTCCTACGCTACTGCAATGAGACACAAGATATCCCATAGTAAGCTGTCCCCAAAGCCGATGCACCGGATGGATCGGGCTGTGGTCGAGAATCCACACGGGATATCGTGTGGGGTGGGTAAGTGGTGAAAGAATGCTAGCCAGGGACCTCCACTCACAGAAATGATTTCTTGTCTGGAAACTGCCGTGGGCAATGACTCGACAGGTTGCCGTGAAGTCACGGGGCGAAGTGCCGCGACAGATTTCCTCCCCCACCTACTCGTGCATCTACTTTTTATCTGCTACAGTGCTATTGTTGCTATTGCTGCCATTCACTTGAACTTGCCAGAGCGACAAAAGGTTGACGTGCACGAAGTTTCCTAATCACCATGTCTTTTGTGGTATCAGAGCGTTCCCTAACCCTGTCAACTGACAGTGTGAGTGTCTGGACGATGAATATTGGAGCGCTTCACTAAATGCCAGCAGCGCAAAGCCGAGGTCATAATTGTTGGTGCCGGAGCAGTTGGGTTGCTCACTGCCCTAAAACTTGGCAGAGCAGGAATAGACACAATAGTGCTTGAGGCGCACAATGATATCCTCCGAGCACCTCGGGCCATTGCGTTGGTGTCTTGTTCGATGAGAGCTTATTTTGCAGCACTGATACAAGTATAGGTACATGCCAGTCGTAGTCAAAGAGCTTCGAAAGCTCGGCATCTATGACAAGCTGAAGGCCCTCGGTGAAGCCAATAATCGGGGCGTGACTTGGAGGCGTCAATCCGGTGAAGTGTACGCATATTTCGATCCTCAAGAAGAACGCCTCACCCTAGGTCAGGACAGGGTCGCCCTCGCTGTACTCGAGGTCCTGAAGGAAGAATGTCCGAGTGTTCAGGTGGTCTTTGGCCAGCGCTGTGTTGGACTTGGGCCGGAAGGCGGAGTAACTAAGGTGATGACTACTGGTGATGAGGGTGAGTGCGAGGTTGTTCGCCACATAAAATTTAGCTGACTCCTGTCTTGCCAGAGGATCATATTTGGGAGGCGAAATTTGTCGTGGGTTGCGACGGAGCCAACTCAGCCATTCGTCGCATGTGTATGATCCCTTTTGAAGGCTTCACGTGGAGAAATTTTCGTTTCACGGCAGCCGATGTGGACTACGACTTTGTGGGACACTGTGGCTTTCCCCAGGCGAACTTCGTCGTGGACCCTGAGCAATGGGCCGTCATTGCTAAGACTGGGAACGGCAACATCTGGCGTGTTTGCTACGGTACACAACATCTATAAGAATTTCGTGAACGAAGCGGCTAACGATCAATGACTAGGCGAACGACCTGAACTCTCAATCGACAAGAAAGAGATGCTCGAACGTGCTCATGACCGCATCATGGGCTGGCTTAAACCAATGAACAAGGACTGCGTCTTCGACTATAAAATCACGCGTCTCAGTCCATATTGGGCTCACCAGAGATGTGCAGAGACATACCGCAAGGGGAATGTGCTTCTCGCTGGCGATGCTGCACATAGTAACAACCCTGTTGGGGGTCTGGGACTTACTAGCGGGATCTTAGACGCTGTTGTTATTGGCAATGCTCTCATCCGCCATCTTCGAAGGGGGGAGTCAGATGAGATCATCACGAAGGCCACGGAAGCTCGACGGTCAACATGGCTAAACTTCACCAACCCAGTCTCACAAGCCAATTTCCGACGCCTGTTTTCCGTGGAAGACCGGGATGACTCCGAGAGAGAAGCGTTCTTTCAAAAGCTTAAGCAGGGAGATGAGCAGTTTCTGGCGGAAGCTAGGTCCCATAGCAACCTTTTGCCAGATGCCTTCGAGCCAGCCGAGCCAGTACTCCTGCAAGCCCATATATAAGACTTTGTTACATCTGGGATTTCTAGATAGCCAAGGCAAGATTGGATTCATCGTACCTTGCTCAAAGATGTGTCCAGTGACCTCACAAGGTCCAAAACCCTTCAACCGCCGTGCGGAGGAGTTCCAGGACAACTTCCCGATCCGGGTCGAGTTTTCGGCTTGCCCATGAACTTTTGACTACTGGGATCCAAACCCTGGACTCATTTCAACGTAGACAGGCCAACCTTGTGCTTCCAGTCTCCCCGATACCCTGCAAAGCCACGTCTTGTGGAGACTAGGAGCAAACAGTCATCGAGGTGATCTACGAGTTTCGTACTATATGTAGGGATTAATCATTCGATAAGCAAGAATGTATTGAATACACCTTCGTACGTGCCTGAGATTTGATCCTGGAGCAGAAGGAGAATTAGGATACCAGTGTTGAGGATGAAGCGCCTGTGCTCTCTAAAATGCCATCTCATCGCACTTGATTTGCTCTCGCAGGTTTGGGCTATTTACCCAACATAAACCACCCTAGGTGGTTAAATGTCGTAATCGCTCTGGCCGGAACAGCGAATCGAGGCCAAGGGGGGCTCATCAATCAAGAAGCTATAACCAAGCTAAACAAGTCAAGCGGGTTTCCGGATCCCCAGGGCGATGTGGGAGAGAAAAGATCACTTTATCCACTGCTTGATCCAGATATTCATGATATCGGCTGTCTCTTCTGGGGCTTCCTCGGGGAGAAAATGCCCTGTGCCGTCTCCGATGGCTTTGGTCTCCACCCTAGTCCCTTCTGTGCACCAGTCTCTCCATATTGATTCCACATTGTAGGCGGCTCCGGTGAAAGACTCTGAGTAAACCACCAAAGTCGGAATTCCGATTTTGTTCCCGACCTTTTGATCTTCTCTCTGGAGGTCATCATCTTCAAAGGCTCCAGCACGGTAATCCTCGCAGGAAGCTCTGACAACAGAGTCGTTGTCAAAATGACGGCAATAGACAGCCAGGGCTTCTGGATTCAAGAGTCTGGCCCTCCTTCGTTCGTTGCGGCCCGCCCAACGATGAATCAGCTCCGAGCACCACGAGCCTCCGCCATGGCTTGTGATAAGCTTGGTGGCGATCTCCACATTTGCGAGAAGCGACCAGTGGAATTTGGAGGCCGCACTTTTGGGGTTGTCAAACGTGTTCCACTGAACTGCCGTGGGCACAATGTCGAGGAAGATCACAGAGACTATTTCAAAGGAGAGGATATCTGGAGCATCGACGGCGAGACGGTGGCAGACACGTGCCCCTCGATCGTGTCCGGCGATTATTATCTTCGGGAGCTCATCTCCCTGGCTCGGGAGGCTTTTCTTCAGGGCTTCCAGGATCGCAGTGCCAACCGTTCTTTTATCATGTCGCAAGCTATTGGCTGTGCTGTCGCCATAGCCGGGCAGCTACAGATGAAGCCGAGGGCTAAGGTCAGTGTATGCTCTCTCTTCCATAAAAACTTAGATACCTACATCTGGAACAAAAAGCGGCAGATGGGAGGGCAGAAGAGGTATCAACTAGCATTCATTCATCAGTATATCTGGTACTTTCCTGATCGGATAGATCCAGGCTGTACCCATCGAAACCTGTAGGGCACCAGCCATTAGTCGATCAGCCTGAAACCGGGGGTGGCGCACAGACATATAGCTCCTGTCGTAGTCAGTATTCAAGGAGGGCCACGGCGAGATCAGCACGGAGACTCACGACTGGGGATAGCCATGCAGGAGTACAAGGACGGTATCACCCCGAGAAACACCGCTCAATCCTCTTGAGTGGAAATTGACTGTGGCTCCACCAGAAGTAGAGACCTTCCTTGGATGTTGGTAGAATTCTTGCACTTCGCCTGACATCTTGTTTTGCAATATAGCAATGCCCGATCCGATGCGACCATGATAGTTTGACAAGAGGTTCTGGTCCAAGTCTTCTTCATCTCCTGCTCTTCCCCCAATCTGTAATGCTCGTGATAGGAAATCTCCATCCGCTAAAACAAAAGCATTAGCGGTCCGAGTTTCGCAAAGGCCGGGCTCGGAATCCGAGTCTCGGATCGTCTAACCACTTTTGCAACACCTACTTGTATTCCCAGTCGATGCCATAATATGATCTACCCGTGCCATGGCGCCGGCTGACAAGCACCTTTCCACTTGGCAGGCTTTTAGGGGTTCCCGGCGGGGGGTGGGGAGAGCTGGGAAAGATGTGCTTGTACCGAGTACTGGGGGCTGGGTACCGAAAACTCAGCCCCTCAGCCTAATCACGCTTTGCATCGCCCCAGTGAACCGAACACATAGGCGCGTTCATCTTTCTCCTACACATACACATGTCCGACCACACTCGCTGTGCAGCCGGGCCTTCAGATGCATCTTACATACTGTACTGTAGGATCGAGCCATGGCCTGTACCGAGTGTCGGCAGCAGAAGGTGTGTTGCGTCCCCCGTGCCTCCGCGCCAATTCTGCTGCCCATTGACCTGGCCTAGATCCGGTGTAACCGTCTCGATACTTTCCCTGACCCGTGCTCCCGCTGTCGTCGGGTTGGTGTGCAGTGTGTCTACTCGAAAGAATTCAGACGGCAGCGGCGTCCGACGTCAGTATCTCCCTGTCGCTCTTTGGGACTGTCCAAACGAACCTTGCTCTAGGAAAACGGAGCTGCAGAGCCAGCTAGACTCTTTGCGAAAGCAGTTGAGTTCATCGTCCAGCAATGGCTCTCAATCGATCCAAGTTCAGGAAGCGGTTGTCCCTCCAGCCGCCATTTCGCCCTCGACAACCGCTGGCACGCAGACAAGCCTTGTGCCAACCCAACGACAGGAGTCTACTGGACTTATCGCGAGCGCCTCTCCGTCGGCGTCAGTCCCGGTTCCCATCGAACATGGACCTGCTAGTAGTTTCACGCTGATGTCAACTCCAGATCGCCAGACATTACCTCAAAGTCTGGACGAGCTTCAAGTCACCGCTCGGGACATCGACCAATGTTTCGCCTTGTAAGCCTGGGAGCCTGACATGGATGGCACATCGAGACTGAGCTTTTGGCAGATTCAAAGATCATTGCATGACTTACGTGCCAATGGTTGAGACCCTCATGCCCCCCAATGAATGCCACGGACAATCACCACTACTGTTCTGGACAATCGTTGCGGTCGGCTCCCGGAAATACAGTGAAAACCCAACCCTGATTATCTTGCTTGGTCCCAAAGTCTCCAACCTGGCCAAGCTGGCCTTGTTCGCGCAGGAGCCTGTACTTCTAACCATTCAAGCTTTCCTCCTGTTGTGCTCATGGCCGATGCCTTTCGAAGCGCTGAGCAATGATATCACCCCCATTCTAGCTGGAGCGGTCTTACAACTAGCTACAACTATTGGACTGCACGTCTCGGGCGTGGGGCAAGAGTTCGCACGAACTAGAGTCAGTCAAGATCTCACCTACCGTGTTGCACGTGGCAAGCTGTGGACTGCATGTGTAGTGGTCTCACAAAGGTTGGTGCTACTTATCCGCCATACATGTCACAGTCCATCTTAATTTGGGCAGGATTATAACGGTGAATGGAACACCACCCCTTGTGATTCCCGACACATATGGCGACAACTCAGAGGAATTAAGCCCTTTCGTGACTCCAAGTTTCCAGTTTCAGAAGAAAGTTAGCGAATTTCTTAGCATGACTATCCTCTACATCCAGAATCACGCGCTGTACAAGCCCGCAGACGAATTACCGAGTGCACTTGATCCGATAATTCGCTCTGCTGTCGATCGGCTGGTTGAACTGGAGTCTGATTCGCCAGAACCCATGGGTATGTCAATATCAATGGCACCACTGACTCCATAGTCGTCCGCTAACGTGATTAGATCGATTCTATGCCTTGTCAGCCCAACTCCACCTCCTGAGTTTTCACTTATTCAAGCACCGATCTGCGATCGAAGACGCAACTCTATTGGTAATGTACGAACTCGCGTGCAGGACGATCGAGCTCGCGATCAGACTAGATTCAGAGCTCAGCATGGCCGAATACGGCCCTATATACATCACGAAATTCCTGCACAGCGCAGTGATTACCATTTTACGTTTGGGAAGAGCCGGGATTGCTCAACAACCAAACTTGGAGCGCGGGCAACGGGCCTACTTCGCAGTAATTAATTACCACAAGAGACATGCCGTGCGCCCGGACGACGCCTTCGCTCGATTCAGTATCATCCTTGCGCAGTTATGGACCAGCACCAAAATCTTCCAGTATTCGAACGGCCTTGTGGATAGCCTCAGGGTTAGAAGCAAAGCCAGACTTGGAATGAGCATGGTTTACGACTGCTTCTGGTGGTGGCGACAAGAATATGGAGGGCAAAGCAATGTATATGGAGACAACCATGGTATGGCTGCCCCACTGAAGCGTTTTTCTCGAGATCCTCCACCTTGGCTGACTCGGTTCTGTAGTGGATCAAACTGCCAACGCTAATCTTGATCACTTCACTCCTGGTTTGGACAACGACCAACTGGACCTGGTCAATTTGAATTTGACCCCGATTCCAGACCTACAGTGGCCTGTGTTTGACAAATTTTTTATTGAAAATTGGCCAAGTCTAGATCTAGATATCAGCATACCAAAACAATGACAGTACCAGATTCTTATGCGGACCCTATCTCGAAGGGCTGCCCCAACTCTTCTCAGCTTCCGAACTGAATGGGACGCCCGGACAGGATCCAAAGGTCGACATCAGGTATTGGTCGTGCTCTGTGGAAGGTTTGTGCAGGATTTCACACTTTTGGCCAGGAAATATAACAGCCAATGCTCCAATGGATAATGGAAGGCCAATCATTAGGTCTTGGGCTTTTCACACCGAAAATCCCAGAGCATGCCGGAGAAGCAGCCAGTACGCCAAGCAGCTTTCGACAGCAACTACCTGGCTTTGCATAGCATTGGACTATCGCTGCCAGTGGATGGGTTGTGATGTTCCGCAAACCCCGGTATTGTGATTAAGACTACCAGTGAGGGTGGGGTGCAAGCCAAGCTTAGACAAGCTTAGACAGGCTTAGACAAGCTTAGACAAGATCTGGGGAAAGCGGCCTTCGCTTTGCCCGAAAACACGGCTCCCGAGCGTGCGTTGAGATGCCTTGAGAACAGCATTTATTGCCAGAGGTCCTCCTGTTGAGATGCCTGTCTCTTGCACATTTCCTGGTGTGCCTCGATTCCTTCTCCTTTCCTCGACTAGGAACAACACAACAATTCGACAACTGAAACAGACGTTTTCTCGCACTTTACTTTGACCAGCTCCAATGAATACCGCCATCGGACATGGAGATGACAAGGTACCAGGTACCATGCCGGTGTTCGTCCATGAAGAGAGTCTCAATGTGCCTCTCAAACCCCTGGAGATGCTTGAAGAGCCGAATTCAGGTCTCGATAGGCGAGTACGACATAAACTCGATCGACACCTCCTGCCGTGGTTATTCGGAATCTGGCTCTTCTCGTTCCTTGACCGCAGCAGCATCGGGAACGCGAATATCGCCGGGATCTCAGAGGATCTCAAGCTTGTGGGCACCGAGTACAACCTCGCACTCATGCTCTTCTTCATTCCCTACATCTTGGTTGATATACCCTCGAACTGGATTGTCAAGTACTGTCGCGCGGGTTATTATCTCCCTGCCCTCATCACATGCTGGGGTCTTGTCTGGTGAGCAAGACTCATAGTCATCTGCATTCTTTCAACCAGTGGCTAATGCACATAAAGCACCTTCCTGGGCTTCACAAAGAGCTTGGGAGGATTAATCGCGGGTCGTCTTTTGCTTGGCCTTTTCGAAGGAGGTCTCGTACCGGGCATTCTCATTTACCTCGCCATGTTCTATCGCCGAAGTGAGATGGCGTACAGGATTGGGCTCTTCTACTGTGCAGCCCCATTGAGCAGCGCATTTGGTGGCCTCCTTGCTTCTGGCCTCGCAAAGATTGAGGTTGGATCCTACAAAAGTGAGATATTAAGTCCTTATGAAGCCAAGTCACATACTGACTGTTCTCATAGACTGGCCGTGGATTTTCTTCGTCGAGGGTGTAAGTGATGGTCAATGCTTTCAGCGACTCCCAATTGACTTCAAATCATGGTAGGCAGCAACCGTTCTCGTTGGAGTATCGGCAGCTTTGTTTTTGCCGGACAGCATCACACACGCCAAATTCCTCACCGAAGAGGAGCGGGCCACAGCGCACAGGCGGGTCCAAGGTGACGCGCAAGGACTGAACGGTGTATCTAGAGTCGACGAGGAGACATTTTCATGGCATTGGGTCCGCATAGCACTCACTTGTCCATTGCCGTACCTCATCTCCTTGGGCTACCTGATGATCATTGTGCCTCTTTATGTGAGTATTGTACAGTGGTGCATTGTGGGATACTGACCATGCAGTCCTACGCTTTATTTCTTCCAACAATCGTCCACTCCCTTGGATATACCTCCACGAAGGCACAGCTGCTAACCGCACCACCTAACCTGCTGGGCTTCATCTGCGTCCTTATCGCCACCAGGCTTTCTGACAGAGTCTCCATGAGAGCACCTTTCATGATCGCCGGAGGCCTTCTTGTAGCGGTCGGCTACTCTATGCTTCTCGCATCAGATGTCCCTGGAGTCAAGTATGGAGCCACGTTTGTCATCGGAGCCGGCCTTTACCCTTGCTCGCCTTTGGTGAGACCATTTGCTCTCATTCTAGCCATTCTTTTGCTTACATCTGCAGGCGCTTGCATGGCTGAGCAACAATTCAGCTCCGCACTACGTCCGCGCGACGACAAGCGGGTTGCAACTTACCATTGGCAATCTTGCGGCTTTTATTGCAACATACTCGTACATTGCAAAAGATGCGTGCGTCTATCAGTGCCTCGTGTTGATCGATTTCGGACTATACGCTGACAGAGTCAGTCCAAGGTACACCATGGGACACAGCATCAATATCGGCGCTGCCTGCTTGTTCTGCATCATGACGGCCTTGACAATGTTTTACTGTCACTGGGAAAACAAGCAAAGAGAAATTGGTGCTCGTGACTGGCGACTGGAACAGCAAGATCCCGCGCGGCTCGGCAATCTGCATCCAGACTTCAAGTATAGCTTGTAGAATACAAGCCGTGAGTAGGGTTGCCTTGAGGATGAGACGGCGGTATAGCTCCCCGAGTCCCTCTTCAACCAAGCCAGCAATGGTGATCTCCACCGCCAGGAGGCAACAACCTGTAGTTCATGCAATTCTGGACGAAAAAGACCTTCCTTTGAAAATTCTCGTCGGGGAAGCTTGCGATTTGCGACTTTCGCTTCATGGACCCGTCTCAACTATATAGCTCGCCATCAGAAGATGCAAGGGGAACCTTACAGAAAGGAGCGAGTTCTTGTCAAGACCGTCGCACGCGCCGATGGTATGAGAAGGCTAGACCTCGTTGTTGAAGATCACTTGAACCAGCGACTAGCCTGTGAAGGCAATCGAGTCAAACGTATCGTAATCATCTTAGACCCGAAGACAAATGATCTGGAGAAAGCATCCTCCACCAGCTGCGTACAGATGGTGCGTGTCTCTGGTGGCTGAAGACAATGTGCTTTTTCTCCGTCGCCACTCTTCTTACTGACGAGTCGGTATGTACATACCTGAGTTCGGGATCCAAAGCGCACCGGCGCCTCCGCAGTCGGAAGTCCGCCCACTTGGGTCCAGCAGCCCTCGATTGAAGAAATCATATATGTTATGTACCATAGGCTTCACTAGTCCCGGCTGTGACAAGGGAAGTCTGTATGAGAGACTGGTCCCCCCCCCCCCCTCTTTTGGCGGGATATCGATGGAGGCATGTGCCCGAATATGCCGTGAAGCTACATACTTACTTATCAGCTCCACAGGAGGTGTCGAGACAAAAGAGGACGCTCTTTGGCCCGCCTTCTGAGTTATTACTGCGGCTTCGTCGAGAAGAATGCGATCTAGAAATTCACGAAAGCTTTTTTCGTGACGATGCAGGTCTGCCCCCAAGAGAACCCTTGGTGCTATACTTGCCGCGTAGAACGCACGACTTCAAACACTGTGTTTACTAAATTTGAAGCAGATCAATACGCAAGCACATGTGGCTGCAGCTACCAAGATGCAAAAGCCACCTGCGAACGTTAAAGTGTGTAGACAGCAATGACATGACGAGGTTTTCTCTCCCTCATCCACCTCCTCGTTCGACATCCTCGACCACGTACCCTCTCACAGTTCAAACAAGTCATCTCAATTGTAATGCTTCAATTTGATCCCCGCAATGGTCTCCTCTTGTATGCCTTTGCCTTTGCCCTTGAACAGATCAGTCTGTCCATAGGCACCGATACGAGCAGACCTGTACAACTTTGAAGTTGGCTCTGTTCCTGGCTCGAATTTCCTCTCCACGCCGGCTTCGCGAAGCACGCTTGACTCCTCCAGGAGAGTATTGACCTTGACCTCGTCGTTGGGAACAACAAAGTAAAACAAACCACAACGGTCCTGATGGCGCTGATCGGGAGGCGGTTGGCATACGCGATGAATCGTGGCCTTGTAGTAGCCGCCCGTCCACCACTCCATCATTTCCCCGGCGTTGACGACGATTGCGCCGGGAACGTACGGGACCCATCGCCACTTGCCGCTAAAATGGTCCATGAGTTGCAGCGATGCCATCGGCTGGCTGAATAACATGGTAATAGAGCCAAAGTCGCAGTGGCCCTTGAGCCACACCCCACCCGTCTTCTCCATATCCTCTGCCTTGTGGCTGTGAAAGTACATCATGTATCGGAACCAGGAATCGTCATGGACATCATACTGGTGGAGGTTGACGAAGAAATCCTGTGGCAGATCGAGGGAAATGGCGAAAAGGGTCAGGAGTCGGAACAAGATCTCTTTGTGGACAAATTCATTCAACTCCTGGACCTCGTCCTTGAATGGGGTGAAAGTAGAAGGGTGTTCGCGCAAAGTCAGATCTCGATTCCAGTTATATTGTTCAATCTGGTCCTTGACGCCTTGGTCGATTTGCCAGTAGTTACGGAGTTTGAAGCCTTGGTAGCTGCCCTCTTGTTTCATCCTGCCTTCCAGGCGCTGTTTCTCTTCCAATGAGGTCTTAGTGAGCACATGATAACCAATATCTACTTGTCGATCGATCTGCTCGATAGAGATGCCGTGGTTGACCACGACGAAGAAGCCTTGTGTTCGCATGGCATGTTTCAGCTCGTCGGCAAGCTTTTTGCGGGCGTCTGGCCCATTGTCGTACGTGGAAAGGTCTAACGTGACCAGTTCAGCGTATTCCAAAGGCTCAGATGTCGGGTTAACTGGGACAAAGTGTTCAATTTCGGGCTTGGTGACGGTAGACGGCATTTTGCTTGACTGATGTTGACTAGAGATGGTGGCGATAGATAATCAGAAGAGGCGGGAGGCCTTTGCGATATTTGCCCCAGAGATGTGCTCGTCTGGACGCATCTCGGCTGTGGCATCCTAGCCTGCTTCTTATGTTTGTCGACCTACGCTGATGACATCGTGCCGACTCCGTGCATCGCTCCGAGATGTGGGGTAGACTGTGCGGGCTTCGGAATATGCGAGATCGGCCACTGCGCGGGGGAGCAGCAGAAGCTGCCCAGTGCAACGGACCAACAGCGAGGACCGGGAAGTTCTGATGTGAGCTGGGCTTCTCCTTGCGCCCGACTCGCCGGCTAGGTCAAGAAAGAACTCGACCGAGTCTTCCGTCGAGAAAGGCGGTGGTCACGTGGGGATGTAGGTCAGCCTCCACATGGACGTCACAGCAATACAACTCGTTCTTGCAAAAAATTTCCGGACTTGCTCGACATCCAGATTGGTGGAACAGGCTACCCTGAGAGCTCTTGACAGAATCGAATTGGGCGGATAGCTTTCCATCGTTTAAGCGATATGAATTGTGGTCCAGTATCAGGGACTATCTAAAAGAGAGTTGCGATGAGCCAGTGATAGATGGATAAATAGGCGGGGTGGCACTAGTCCTAATCAGGCATTTAAGCAATTGTACTGGTGCCAAGCCAACACCGTGACAGCGTTATATCAATCAGAAGGGAGGATCTAAAATACAGCGAGGAGAGTGGTGAGGAAAGGAGAAAAGGAGACACCAAAATCTTCTCCTGCAGCAGTGAGCATAAAACTGTTGACGTGTTTATAGCCATTTTTGGTATATTCTATACCTTTCTCAAAGCGTCCGTATTTGCAATAATATCGGAGTCTTTCATAAGGCTATATATAGCGATAGATATTGTGACGAGAATGTGTAGCGGCGGGGGTCCACTTTGGTTGGACTCATCGCTGGTCAATTAATCAAGCTGGTGAGTTGATTCAAGGTGGGCAACACAAGATGACACATATGCCGCGAGGTGATCAATAATGTCCTGGTATGATGTTGAAGGCAGAGGTCGGTCTTGGTGGTATGCTTCATGATCCTGGCTATGCATCAGAATCATTGGCGAATTGCTTCGTTCCTTTTGTTGATGACCATGGCACAAGAAGATAAATCACATTGTGGTCAGCCGTGCATGTGGTACAAAAGGCAAATGCTAGCCAATCCGAGTAAGCAAATACATAATTCTGCGAGGGACCCAGGTACCTGGAGGCTGGGTCATGAAGCAAGGGCAACGGAAAACACAAGACATAATCCACGCGTTATAGCAAATCAGCCAACAGTCCAATGGAAATCGAGCAAAGATTTGAGACGAGGTGGCATACCTAGTGTGAGTTGGAGGATACTGATCTCGCATTGGAAACTCGCAGTTTCTACCATCTGTGTGCTGTTCGTTGTATGAGAGGTGATTGTTGCTCTTTAGCCCGGACTTGACGAGAACCTGTGATCCTCAGAGGCGAATAGATTCGGTGACGGCCAGGAAGAGAGCAGAGAATCCCGCGTGCTAATGTCGCAGGCGATATGCGTGCAAGGTAGTTCCCCTTTTTTTGACGCCCGAAATCTTGGTGGACCTCTTTTCAAGACCTTAAATAGCACAAGGGAGGAATATAAGCATCTCCATTGAAGTCCAGGGATGGTTTGATGGAGGCGGCTTGGCAAAGTTAAAGACTAAACCAATTCTTCAGGAGGTCTCTTCGCAGCACAATTGACCCCTCTGAATCGATAATCGGGAGGGTGACTTGACTTTGAAGTGACTGATGGAGTTCTTTCCGAGATTTGATTAGTGGTTTGGCGTTATCTCAGGGAGAGATACAGCAGTCAATCACAAGATGGAACGGCAGAACACACATCGACAGATCGACCCACAATCTCCAGACCACTTTGTTCTCCACATAAGGACTAACCATGGATTTATCTGACCGTCGAGTCGTGCTTCGAATGTGAATTCAAGTTGTTCAATCATTGCTGGACGGTCGAATAACTGGCTGCGCACGCGACGCACCATCCCGTCTTCGTGGTTGCACTTTCACCGCTCAATGGCAAGTAATGACGACACCAGTACGCACTGGGCAGACCCCTGCTTTCCTTCTGCTTGAATTCTCCGCAAGTCGGCCTGGTTTTGCGTCGCAATTGACTCGGTGGGTGCGTGAATGGCTGGCAAGATGTTCCTTCGGCTCCAAGAGGCACTAATCCAATCGATAGATAGTTGAGTGCGGAGGGTGAATTACCCGCATGGCACGACCCGATGAGATTGAAACGCATCGGCCCAACATGGAGCAGCCCACTTGCACAACTTAAGGCTCTATCGGCTGTACTTGTAACGTGACGTGAATTGCCGCGACGAGGACGACAGAAGATGGATGCTCCGGGAACGTTCACATGGTAATGCTCCTTCTCACCCCAATCCTACTGAAGTGCTTACCCTGTCTAGCTTGTTGCGAAGTAGATGCGTCACAATCCGTGCAGGGGAGGAAGGCGAAACACTCCCAGTCCACGAGGCTGTTTTGTCTAAATCTGGCTCGGCATCCCTTGAGAAATTGGTGCAGCCCGGCTGGAGGGAGTCGTGTGAAGGTTGCATTGATTGGACCCACACAAGCTCACAGACTGACGAACGAGTCCTGGCTCACCTGTACTTCCGAGACTACGAAAGCCCAGATCCAGTCCAGCGACAAACTCGAAGCCAATCGAGGGGAACGGATAGCATCAGGCAAAGATCTGAAGCAAGAGATGACCCTCAATCTGACGCAGCTGCAGACGAAGAGGTCCAGGAGACACCAGACGTTGATGCAGTCGAAGAAGTCGTGGTAGATGATGATCCGCCCTTTGGTTGGGTCGACGAGGCTGCACCAGAGGCTGCAGAGTCCGCACCCACAGAAAATGATCACCCAGGGGGCTGAAGACCCAGATTTCCAAACCGAAATTCTCGAGTCATGCGCCACACGTCCACTGACGCCGCTCGGTCGGTGTGTTGGGCTTGCACCTATCATGGCCTCACGTAAAACTGCCGGTGGAGCCTTTGAAGAGCACGACTTTCCCTACGAAACCTACTCCTACCGAGAGCCACTGCTTGCCCATGTGAAGGTTTATAGTTTCGCGAAATATTATCTATTACCTGGATTGCAGGAATTGGCTCTGCAGCGGATGATAATGACGTTGAGGAAAGTGGACTGCTCGTTGAAATATGGAGAGGTAGAGTTGGCGGACCCCATCGAATTCGTTTACCGCAACATTCCTGTCCATGGAGATGGCGAAGAACCAATGAGGAAGCTATTGTCTCAATTTGCAGCGGCGAATTATACCTCTCTCCTGCATGGCAGCTTCGAGGCACTTTTCGCTCGTGGTGGTGATTTCACGCTCGATCTGGCGCGAAAACTTTCACGACGCCTTTTCGGCGCATTGAATTTCGGCCGAGTTGGGAGAAGATGAATTGGAAAGGCGGATACATGCTCTTGAGCTTCAAATACAAGAGCGATAAGAGACGATCAATTCGCTAAAGGCCAGCTTGAGCGATTCGTTGGCTTGGGGTCGTGGGACCAACCGTAAAGCACGGCGACGATAACGTTTTGCTGACATTGTTCGAGACGCTGGTTGTGCAGTCGAACTTGGCTTGCGATCGCCGCCTGAGGTTGCGCCGCTTAATCACCTCACAACACTTGTTCGAGAAAACATAAGTTCACTCTGTCACCGTCAACGCCAAACAGGTGAACAAGTTATGGAACCCATGTGGCCCCGCAGCAAGGGGGGCGCAACGAGGTCTTGGGCGACTCCGAACGCTGATTTCGTACTTGATGATTCCGACGGCCCTATTGGATGGAGATTGAAGGCGGCCAATATTCAACGCAGTATCGTCTCTCGCGTGGATCAATACTATTGACGAGATGGTTTTGCAAGACTATCTCGGTGATGCGCGTTACCAGACATGGAAGATATTGGCCCCCATGTTGATTGTTGTCTCTGGTGTACAATCTTGAGACGTGGTTGGGAACAATCTAGACATGCCCTTACTGGGAGTTGACTGGCAGCAGGATGGAGAAGGTTCTATGAATTCCTTCTGTTTTGCTGATTGTTTCATCCGATAGCAGTGACAAGGATGACAAGGTCTGAGTAGTCGCGAAATTCTCGAGTGTTAAGCGAAGCATCTCAGGCACCAGACCAACAATGGTTGAGGTGGAACGATGTTCTCTCCAGGCACCAAGACAGGACGTGGCCCTCGTATCGAACATTGTGAGGCGGTCTGTCAAATATCTCCCTGTACAAGTACCTGCTTTGTTCCCGCAGCGTCACGTTTCTGCACCTGTGCCCGAATCCTGTTTTTCGAACGCAAGGAGGAATAATTTTGGCCACCACAGGCGGGTCCCGTCTATAAGGTACCGAGTACAATTTGAGCCGATCGAGGTAATCGGACACAACACCCTGGGCATCGATTGGGTGATGAGGTGATTAGCGATACCAAGGCCGGGTGACAGATCCAGCCGAGCAGACGTAGCTTCTTGAGGCTAGGCCGAGCTGCAAGGATCTGATTTTTTACGTATGAACAGCCGCATGTGATCACAGCGAGACATTGGAGAAGGACGGAGGTTTGAAGTTGCGACAGAAGGGATGCGACTGGCACGGGCGATGGATTTCCAGACTTGAGATTGGGAGTATGGAGTGTGTCTCGGTGAAGCAAGGGGAGATGCAAGGAAAAAGCTGGATGTACGAGGTACTCGGTACCTCATAGTGGTGAGCTGGCGAGCTGAGAGGAAACGGAGGAGAGGAGCAGAGCTCAGTTAGGAGCAGAGCTCAGTGTGGCGTCTTGGCCGTTCTCCCGCCTTTTCCTTTGTTTGCACCAAGTTTGCTGGGTTTGTAGAGTTTGCAGTGACGGCGAGCGGATCCCGCTAGTTGACACTAGTCGACGCTATTCGCGTTAGTGCCAATTAGCGCCACCAGCTCACTAATGACAGCGTTGACCTGCCCTTGCCTGCCCCAAGCTCGCCCCAAGCTGCACGTCAACATCAACGCCATCAATGCAAGCCACTTAAGCCACTTGACACACCAAGATCCATCCCTTGCGTCGTGTTCGCTGTCTATGGTACCAGGTATGTCACTACACCATCCTCCTTCTCCGGATCCACAATGCCGGCATCATTGGGAGACTGTCCATTGGCTGCCGCAAATGCATCTGGACTTGCTTTGGCCACCCATAGCTGAATCTGGCGCGGCCATCACTTGGATTCATTGGTTCCTTCATCCACAAAGAGACTCAGGACACCAGATAGGGCTTCTCTCATTCATCCAGCTGCAGACATCTCAAGTCATGCCCTTCAAACTCAAGCGCTCGCGGGTGTCTGGCGGGCTGCCTTGTCTCCCTCACCAGATATCCCCTTTGACAATGGCGCCCAGTTATACACCGCTTGACCCCCTGGAATGTTCCCTTCCGTCCTTCCTCCCCGCCACAGATGCTTTGGCTCGAGGTGCATTGACCTGGTTTCCTGCCTCTCCACGAAGTTACTCTCTCGTAATTAATCCTGAATCCCTCTCTCTTGTTCTGGGTGCTTTAAAGTCAATACGTCCTGGATATCCATTCGCCCACGTGTTGCCTATCGCCCCAAACAAGGCTGCATATCCTGGCCGTACAAGGGATTGAGGCCACAACAGAAAGTCCGGAACCAACAATGACAACGCCGCGCTTGGATGGCTCTGAAAATGCTCCTCTCCATGCTGACGATTCCGCCACCAGTTTCCTAGAGCTTCCCAAAATTACTGCTGGGAGCACTCGAGCCGAAGGGCATCCTCACAACGATCCATGTCCCAGCCCAGTTGTTCCGATGAGGATTGATTCAATTTCGCGAGCTCGCATGCCGCAATTTCGTCAGTCAAGGAGATGGGCGAGGCTATATGGTTGGACACCTCCCACAGAAACTGAGTCTCCTCCGCGTCCCCTTGACCTCAAAGATCTTCCTCCGAACGGGAACCCATATGCTACCGTCCTGGGATGCGATCAACGCACCGGGCGCGAGGTTTCTTTGCAGCCATATTGTGGTCTTCCCAGGGGGGTAAAAAAAACTCTTGGACGTGCAAAAGTTCAGAGGAATATCCGCGAGGTCAACTCTGATTCCTGTCACACCGGTCTCTGCACACATGGTGCCGCTTATTACTGGCGCTGCGTCAAACCTCTCATCGGCAAGGTTCCTCGTGCAGGCTTGACCGTGTGGCCACGCAGACTGTCTCGAAGCCGAAAAGCAGTAACAACAAGACATCGCGAGCCTACAAGCCACCAGGTGTCAGCTATGATTTCTGTTCCCCCTATATCACGGAGAGAAAGCAACATGAAAGTCTTTGATCACATAAATTGTCTTGAAAAACCTGACTTACCCCCTACACAGAGAGGTCACTTGTCGTGCTTTCACAGGGACAGCTACGCAGAAAATGAACCTGGTGTGGGTCCGTGGCCGGCAACGTTGTCAATACCTTCACTTCGCAATCCCATCAAAGGAAACAGGTTTTCAGACGAATTCAGAGATATTCTGGAAAACTTCACATTTGACAACGATCTTTTCCACCCGACTACTCCTGCGATGTCCGCAGCCGTAGTGCGACAATCCGCAACAAAAGGTACCTGCCTCGAGTCCACCCAAGCATGGGGAGAAGCTATCCGCATGCAGACGTGGGTTGAGGCTACCTCTCCGCCCCTACCACCACCACAAGGGATGGAAGCAAAGACAACTCTTCTGCACAATTCCTCCATAATGGATCTCTCGTCTCATCCGCCTCAACGTCTAGAGCTTGCCGGCCGAGCTTCGGAAAAGACACAAACCAATCCGGCCAGTATGCTACACGCTACACAGGCCGAGTCACTGACGATCATTTCATCTCCTCCCGTGGTTCCTGGGTCAAATTCAGGACTGCAGTCGGGGAACGCAAGCTCCAGCCCGCAATTGAGGCTCACAAGACCTGTGATGCGTCTCTCTTCAGCACGTTCGGTGATGAGCGCAGATACTATAGTTGCAATTGAAGCACAAGTCCAAAATATATTACACTACAGCATCGACATGGACATTGAGGACTATGAGTCTACCAATCCTGGCAATCAGTACAGCGGCCCTCCTCCCAACATACCGCTGCCTGCATTGCCACACGAAGCACAACACGTACAATGTGATCTGGCCAAAAGCCCCGAAAGTCTGGGCAGTTTGGACAGCGATCTTGACGAGAGCCCACAGAGTTGCCTTAACAGTGTGCGTCATACCATTCGAAGCACTCGCGCTGATAAAGTGCGGGAAAGGAGGATGCGCGATCTCGCGAAGTTGCGTAGTCAGACACAAAACGCTGATGCCCTTGGATCGAGCGAGACTAGTAAGAAGTCCACCGACTCTAAAAATCCACAGAGATTGACATGCGATGTTGATGAGCTTGATCAATTTCCCGCTGTCCCAGACTCCCAACCAACAATTCTTTGCAGTATGTCTGCTTCCTGTCCTAGTTGCCAGAACAGCCAAGAGAAAACGACTCGCCAACACCGCCGAATGTCCAAAGCTGGTTCAGACGAAAACCCGGGGAGTACGTCACCGCAAACACTTAGTCAGAGCAATATATTCGTGGTCGTCGACGCTGATCCCATCACGGCGCGTTTTAGAGCAGGCGCCACAAGTCCGAGATTGAGCATTGCAGGCAGTGCCACTGGATTGAGAAGCCCAAAGTATACACGCACTTCTTCAAAGCTCAAAGAGGTCATGGCCAATAGGTTGAGTCTGAGTGAGGGTCCGGGACGAGAAACGGTTCTTGGCAGTCCCATGAAGAGCCCAAGTAGGAAAACCCGAGGCAGGAGTCCGACAGGGGAGCAAGCACTCAGACCTCGTCGATCAAGTTCTTGCTTGGGCATCCACAGTAGCCGGCCTGGAAGAGTTGAGAGCCGATCCAGAAGCAGTTCCCGTGACGATCACTCACAAACCTCCTGTGATACAAACTCGCCAAATGAATCAACCAGCGAGATGAAAAAACGGCGACGTTGGAACAGCGGCAATATCAGCCTCGTCACAAAATTGCAACAAGATTTACGCGACTACTATGCTACGATTTTGAAGCAGGAGGAGAAGATTAGATTGCAAGCCAACCAGATTCAGATGATCATGAAGATCTTTGCGCCCATAAACCTAAACCAGCAGCTAGAAGAGCTGAAACTTCTTCAGGATTCTCCTAGTCAATCATCAATTGGTAGAGAGGCGAACCGAAACAAGGGACAGGCAACAAGGTCTTGGAGCGGGCACACCGACAGGCGATCGCCGAGATCTAGTTTTCGCTTTCCGCTCGATAGCATCAAGGTACAAACTCTCAACCGCCAAGGTCATAGCACATCGAACAGAGCCGATGCTACCAGCGAGGGCTTCACCTCCGCGGCAATGTCAATGGAATCGGGGGCAGCTGTTATTGATGATGCGTAATGGAGTGAGCCGAGAATACCTGGTACCCGCCTGCCGGCAAACAGGGGGGCAACGTGGAAACCATGGACCATATATACAACTAATGGCGACGCCGCCAGTGGAATTGCGGAAATGTACATGGAACAATAGTTGTTATTGCATAGCACCTCAATGACGAATGACGATCAGAATACATATTTCATATACGAAAATACAGCTCAAGCGAGGCTGAGCCCACTAGGGGCCGGAGAATTTGAGGAATACTTGGACTCAGCCAAGCCCCCAAAACAACAGCGCACACTTAGATTTCTAGAGTCGGCAGTCCATTCATCTCAAAAGTCCATCAAACGAAATTCGATGCACAGAACTAATGAAGCAAGCATCTAAGTGGGATAGAATGTTCTGGTAAACGGAGCGGTCACGTGTCAGGCTGACGCCAAGCAAAGCAAGGCTGTGGCAAAAAGCTGACTCTAACCCTGAGCATCGTTTGAATTGTTCATCCATCTTTTTTTAAAACCAAAGATAGAACTTTCCTCTGCAACTACAATACTGATCAAAAGTGGGCCAAACACTGAGCAACATGTCGAACATGGCCAGCGCCACCCACAACCCGCTCACATCCCTCCCTTTTCCACCGATCACCCCAGCCCACATACTTAACTGCTCCTTCCATTCATGGCATCCTCGTTTCCGTCCCCTGACCCCCAAGGCCCGTCTTATCCCCCTCTCCCAACCATTTCTAGACTATCTCCGCGCCGACGGGATAATGCTGCCCCCTGAAAACAGGCCCAACGACGCAGACAGTGGCTTCGAAGACGGGTTTCAGAACGACGAAGACGAGGAGAACGAAGATCCCTCGGAACAGTGGGCCGACATCCATGACAAGATACGCTCCACGATTGCCGAACTGGGGGGCAAAGTCATGCCGAAACTCAACTGGTCGGCGCCCAAGGATGCCACTTGGATCGCGACCACGAATGACATGGAATGTCGAACGCCAAACGATGTGTATCTGCTGTTAAAGTCAAGCGACTTCATCACGCATGACTTGGAGCATGCTTTTGATGGATGCACGATCTCGGACGACGCTGGGAACGGCGACCAAGCCAAGGTTGATGTACGCGGCAATAGCAATGAGATGGTGTTCCCTGAAGTGCCCTACCATCTTGTACTACGAAAAGCATTCAATTTGAACCCCGCGCTTGAATTTCGATGTTTCGTCCGCCAACGAAAACTCATCGCGATCAGCCAGAGGGAAATGAATTACTTTGATTTCCTCTTTGACCTGCGAGACCGGTTTAAAAAATTGATCCAGGAGTTTTTAGACCAGCACTTGCTACCTGACAACAGTGAGAAGGGCGGAAAGGGTTTCCCGGACGAAAATTTCGTCGTGGATGTCTACATCCCCCCACCTCACGACCGCGTGTGGTTAATCGACATAAATCCTTGGGCGCCGCGGACGGATCCGTTACTCTTCTCCTGGCTCGAATTATTGCAATTGCCACTCCCAGAAGCACCAGGGGCGCGGTCAGAGATCAGATTATGGCTAGACAACGCAAGACTGGAAGGAGGACAGGACGAGGGAGACGAGGGAGACGAGGAAGACGATGAAGAGGACGATGTGATATTTGATCCGGAGTTCCGACTCGTGAGACGAGACGATCCGGAGGCCTATCAATTCACGGCGACGAAGTACTCGGCGCATAAACTGCCAAAGGAAGTCGTGGACGCGAGCATGGCGCCGGGCGACATGAAGAACATGATGGAAGAGTGGAGGAAAGTCATTGATAAGCAAGTGCAGGAGGATGAGGATGAGGACGAGGAGGAGGGTCATACCTGAACGTCTTCCACCGAGACCTGAAGGGCAGGGAAGGCACTTTTCCTCTCGACCCATGCGGTGCCGCATCTCTTAGCCGGAAAGGCGGATGGCTGACGCCACGTATGGACCGCCACGGTTCACAGCTATTGTCCACTGTGAAGATGTAGAAAGGTTCTGGTTAATCTACCCTTCGAGCCGAGAGGAAAACTAAAAGACAGTCTGACGGTACTCCCCACGACGACGAGAGTGCTGAATGGAGATCAAGTGGCCGCTGGGCCGAACAGAGCTAACTATTCCTGCAACTGGAACACAGAGCGTTACCGTAGGCCGAGCGTCCGCTGGAGATGAAGGCTGCTCTCACCGCAATAACAGCCACTTCTCACTTCGCAGCTGAGGAAGACAATTGATGTGCCAGACTATGCCAGCCCCGACGACATATCGGTTGGTCGTTCCGCTACTAGGTCAGCCAAGGCCGAAAGCGTATGGAAGGGATAAAACATGTTAATCCTGAGCTATTCAACAGCGTATACCTAAATTCAAATCTGTTCATTCAGCCAACCACCTACCAGCATATCCTTACCTTGATACTGGCTGCCTAAAACTCTGTTTTCTAGCTGGCGCTCCTGTCCATGAACCTTCAAGTCCGGAGAAAAGGGGCCCGACTGAACCCCGCACCCCCGTGGTGTTATAGGGCTGGTCTCAAAAGTTAACCTGTGCCTTTGTCGTCAAACGCTCCATCGTCACTGTCCTGTGTCCGGAAATATAATTGAAGTCGAGCAGAAGATTATGGAGCCACCGACGAATCCAGCCGGCATCATTGACCCGGAGGCTGGCAGTGCAGCTCTAGAAGAGTTGCCGTCCGTTCAAACACCACCGTCATCAATGGCCGATTTTTCATGTATATATTTTGGATATGGCTCCAACCTGTCGCCACGGACGATGAAGCAACGATGTCCCGACTCCCTCTTCATAGGACTCGCCGAACTGAAGGACTGGAGATGGATCATCAACGAAACCGGACATGCAAACATAATACCGTCTTCGGGAGACGTTGTATACGGAAGTCTATGCTTTCTCAGCAAGAGAGACGAGATGGCACTAGATGAAAGCGAGGGGGTGCCCTGGTTGTACGAAAAAATGACATTGCCTGTGCGACGGCTTCTAAATGACGTTGAAAAGTCCTCTGACTGGGCGGCCAGTGGAGAAATCCAGGTCCAAGCCACCACCTATTTGGATGTGCAGCGGACGACGGTGGGCAAGATTGAACGCGAGTACGTTGTCTGGGTCAAGAAGGCAATTGAGGATGGACACATCGCCGGGATGCCCACCGGATACACTGAAAAGTTCCTGAAGCCTTTCCTGCCGACAGAAGAGAGGCAACTGGAAGATATTGTGATGGTGAGGACCACTAAGTTTGGAGAACACAGTGCTGGGCTTGTGCCTCGAGGATTTGCAAGCTGGTCGAGGGGATGATGAGACGAGGAAGGATGAGATAGAATGGAAGACTCGGTGGACGTGGACGTGGAAGTGACGAGCAGTGGTGATGAGTGGTGGTGACGGGGCTGTTATCGATACTCGGCATGCGCTAACCAAATATGGGAAAATACCAACAACGCGCAGCTTGGACGTGAGAACTCAATGGTTTCAACACGTCATCTTGCCTAGACAGAACACTTCTCTATAGATGTCGGGACGCTGCAACAACTTCCTCTCATTCCTGCAGATTCATCCACTAGTATGCCCAGCGACGACACCATATTGGAGGGGCCAGTAACCCCGGCACCATTATTCGCCTATCGCGCAATTCGAGGCATCTTCTTCGCCTCGCCTGAATCCTCGCCCGACCATGGCAACAAGGAAAACCTTGTGCCTGCATACCCCTCTCCATCGAAGCGAAAGCCCGTGACAGGAAGCTCACCTCAACTGTCACCCTCACAGAAGCGCAAGAGGGACAGCAGTACCGGTGGAGGGACCATCCTTTCCCCTACGAAGGGCATACTCCGTACGCCGGGTCTGGCGACACCTAGAGCAAAATATCTGAAGGACGTTAACGTCAAATTCAAAAGCGTCAGCCCCGAGGCCCCAAAGTTGGTTGGTTGTCCTTCTTCTCCAGGCCAGCCACAGACCAGAGCTCAGCATGCCTCACCAGTCGTTCGCCCTTCAAAACCCATCCACATTCTGGCATCACCCACAAACGCAACCTCGTCTTCCGTAGTATTGCAGAAGCCATTACAGAATGAGCAGCTGGTAGTCAACACTTCAACCGAATCTGCACCTCCAACTTCGCCATGCATGCTCTCCCGAGGTGCAATAGAGGCCTACATGGCCCAAACCGAAAAGGAAATGAAGAAACTGGTCCGCTATGGGCAGAAGATGCGCGAGTACGCGCGCAAGAAGGACGCAGAGAACCAGGAACTAAAGCGCATGGTTGAACAACTCCGGAGGGTGAATGAGAGGCTCAAAGGAGACACAGACCATTCTACTGAAAGCAATACAAACACCGCCGGTATTCCGCGGATTGGAAAAGAGCCAAAGAACAAGAAGGAAGAAGAGAAGCGTGTCACCGCTGATATGCTAGGGACAAGTGCATCGCCGGCGCTGAGGAACAAACGTCGAGGCTACGTCCGGGAGGAAGTCGATAGGGTCGAAACGACAGTGCGAGGCCAGACGTTAGGAGAGTCGAAGGCTCAGAGGCACGTTAGCTCGTCGAGTACTGGAACCGCCGAACGAAGCACCGCCGGCATCTGCGAACCCTCGAGACCTTCTGGTAGTTCGTGCAGTGATATACCCACCAACCATCCGCCCACGATTAGGCGATCAACATCATCATCCCAGCGAAAATCTTCATCTTCAACGCCGCTCATTGCACTTCCTATAAATCCACCTCTGCCTGCAGATGTAGACCTTCCGGCAACAACAACAACAACAACAACAACAACATCCATCCACTCCACTTCAGCCAACATCACCGTCGCCAAGTCCGGCACCATAAGCCTTCCGCCCGACCGCCTTGCAGCTGCTCGCGACAGATTACGCCGACGCGCCGAGCGGAGGAAAGCGAGTATTCCGCTACAGATCGACTCGGCTCTCGACAAGCAGGGGAGCAGGCAACCTGTGGATCTGGATCAGGCGCAGCCACTCCAGAGGATAGGTCGGGAGCGGGGGCAGGAGCAGGAACTCGTCAAGGAACCAGAGGACCCGAGCGAGGTCGACTGGGCAAATCTCTGACTTTTGTCGTTAACCCTCCACTCACATACCGTACCGGGCACGGCATGGCCTGTGGTTTTCGGTCTCATGTAATGAAAATAACGGGGGTACATGACTTGGACAGAATGGGACACACAGGGAAGCAGACAAGCCGCATGAGCAGAAAGTGCGCGCGCAAAAGGGATCCCCAATCAGATCATCGTTGTATCGTTGTTACATCGGTCCATGTACGTAGAGCCGAGCGGGCAGACTGCTGAGCACTGCAAGTTCGCCTCCAAAGGCACGGGACGTGAGGGTGGCGCACAAGACCATGTTGCTTGCTTTCTTGCTCGCCAATTTGCCATATCCAGATAGATAAGCGGCCCGATTTCGCAGTCCTTTGGCCTGTCGCCGGTCCCACTCATCAGTCCTTCCTCCGGCATCGAAACCGAAAGTCTATATGGTATCATATCACAATTTTTTTCATAGACCCCAGCCAGCCATCTTTTTTTGTGCATCGCGTCTATAACCCTCTAGAGGGCCACTTCGAGTATAAGTAGGTAGGCACTTCAGCCCAGGCTCTCATTGGCAACTGCTGCGACGCCCTCTGTTTGCGTCCCTTGGGCCCGACTCAGGCCGGGATATTTAGACTGCTCGCGCTGGAACTGCTGCTCACGTTCCTCCTGTGCCTTCTCCGCGGCCTTGCGCTTCTTCTCCGCCTCTTCTTTCTCGCGCATCTTGATCGAGGAGTAATTGAGGGCCGATATGATCATGACTTGAAAGAGCAGCATTGTGAGTGAAAAGGTTCGAACAGCGAGTAATTTGGGGGAGAAGTTAGGAGGCCGCAACTTACAAGCACAGAACCCGATCGCCAGCGCCGCGCGACGGGTCAACACCCACCGCAAGCCCTCGACCTCACTCCTCGCCTCGCTGTTCAGAAGGACCGTGATTTCATAGTTCAGTTCCGAAATCTTGCTATCGATCTTGCGCTTGTCCTCCTGCAGGCCCAGTTTGCGATCATTGAACAACCCCTTCAATTCTTCCTTGAGCGTCATCAGATCTTGCGTCGCTTTCTGATTCAAGATGTCATACTCGTGCTGCAACTGTGCCCGTTGGCTGCGCTGCTTGAGCGTCTCGGAATGTCGCGTGGTTTGCAGCGTGGTTTTCAACTCGGAGCAGGCGGCGCGGAACAGATAGGATTCGTTTTCAATGTCGGACTTGGAAACAAGGCCTTCCTTGGCAACGTCGAGATTCAGTGAGAGCATGAGGCGGATGGCTTTCATCAGTGTTATGGCTTGGTCGACGGTATAGGCGTCTTTGGCCGCTAATTGTTGGACAAGCGAGTAAGTGTCGAAATGATGCTCGTATGGAGAAGGCTCGAGATGTGGGTGCTTGGGCGCATCTTTGCCTTTGACTTCCGACGGCGAGGGGACCGCGAGTATCAAGTCGAGTTCTTTGTTATCTAAAGGATTGCCGTCTTCTACATTGATCTGATGGTTTTTCTTGGTCATTGATGCTTCGTCAATATAGTCTGATGTAGCATTGGATGCTTGAGGCTCATCTTGCCCGACTTCTTCGGCCGTTGGTGCATCTTTCACAGAGCCCGATTGGGATGATTCTTTGGTCTCTTTTGCCTCTGCCTTGTCTTTTTCCTTGCTTTCTTGCTGCGGAGTCGACGGTCCTGAAGATTTTGGTGGAGGCGGGAGGTTCTGGGAAGCAGCTGGGCCGTATCTCTGGGGGAAAGCGTCTTGCGGCCGACGAGCAGAGGTATGCAGTTTCGCTTTCCGGCGAGGCTTTGCTGGAGCTGCTGGAGGGGCCCGGACTGAATGGTAGGTGGTAGGCTCGCACGCACGCACAGCGCGCAGGAAGTTGGGGTATAGAAAAGGAAGGCGTGTGGTCGCCATCATTTGGAATGAAGAATCGCACGCCTGCAATACTCCTTGTACAACTCCGAAGCTGGATTTCGTTGCTCGTTGGAAAATGTGTTGTCATCGACTATTGTTGGCACGCATCGGATTTGCCCACGGAGAAAAGTGTGGCCGCCTCCGATCTTCCCCTCCTGCGAACGGACACTTGCGAGCCAGCTCGCAAGGTTCGCATCGAGACAGAACTCAACGTACTGCGTATATTCTACAATGATCATGCATGATATATCGAACATACGCTATATCGAGACTTCCGTCCTTCGGTTGGCTCTCTCTCCGTTTGATCGTCCAGCACAATATCTTGGGTGCTGCAAGTTTCCTCAGATTGCCCGAACGTGCAATAGTTTCTGAACAAGCCCATCAATGCCTCGTTGATACATTCTTTTCCATTTGTGGTTCCTCCATGAGTAAGTCTACCAATACTTTCGTGGAAACATTATTCCGAGGCAGGCAAAATTGCCAAATTATCCCCCCAGTTCTGAATTAGAACTTGAGGATTGGCGTTGGTCGGGAGAGTACGAGACCTCATGCGAAGCCGTGGGTTGGCATTCTGTATGGGACACCATCATATATTCGTTGTGTCTGTGGCTCTCGGCTCGCACGGCGAAACACGTCTAATTCCTGAGAGGCTCAGGTCTCTGTTGGCTGCACCTGTTCTAGCAGGCTTTGTTTGATAGGACGGTACACCAGCCAGGACGCAAGCGAGGACGCAAGCGGCAGACCAGCCCCTCGAGGACGAAGGGCTCTCAACCGTCTTGCCAGAAAAGGGACAGTGGACCACGAATGAGGTAGGGGAAATCCAGCTTCTCGACGCAGACGGAAAATGAACAAGTCGGACCATTTATATTCGCGGCTATCGGCTACCAGCCCAGGGAAACTGTGACAGGTCGAGTCATCAAACATCCTGGACTTCCACCGGTACTGTGACTCAGGGTGATGGCTCGCTACCCTTAGTTCCGGGTGTTACCCATCGGAATACGACCTCCTCTCCATAAGGATGAGCACATACGTTGTGAGAGCTCCAAACGTCAGATTAAAGCCTGCACGCGCATCATCTGATTGGGCTCCACGAAGTTGGAGAAACCAATAAGGCCTCGTCTGTACAGCGGGCATACTGCAAGATCGAGGCACTATTTGCGGTATGATGATAGTCACCGGGGCAGGGAATCCGGTCTTCGATCTCCAGAAAGCGATCATGCAAGTCGGAAGCCAGATGGCTCAGATTCGATCAACTCTCGCTTTGCAAAACCCACAGCCTTGCAGCAGCCTTCGCATAAACTCCACGATCCTATTCAAGCTCCACCGCGCCACATGTCTCCTTACTGTCGGGATCAGAGCACCCAGACTCGGTTATCCTTCCTCTTCGAGCCAGCAGGTGTCTCTCAGCATTGTTCGGGCGGGTTGAGGAGTGATGGAACAATCTCGTGCTGGAGAGTAAAGTGAGCTGGGCAACGGAACATTGTCGCTCCAGGGTCTGGCGGGGAATAGAAGGAATCAAAGGCTAGGGGCAGGTCAGACGTACCATTAGCTGCTGCGGTGCTAGAGGCTTGTGTGGGGATATCTCGGTCAAGAATCGATCTAAGGCCAGCAGGAACCACGATCTGTCTCCGTGGATCCGAGTTGAGGGGGTCCATTGTGGCAGCACAGTGACTTCAGGCGTTTAGTTCAACCTGCAGTCGTGTTCACCAAGACGATATGCCATGTCCGTTTTGGGAGAAAATGGGCGATTCGTTGACGGCAAATCATTTAGGCAGTCATCAAGCGAGATGGACGGGTGTTTTTGGGCAGGGAAATCCCCCCAAGCTCTCCACCTGTTCCCATTGCCGGCCGAGCTTCCGCCTTTTCATACCAAAATAGTACATTTGTTTACATGGATGGGATTGTGACCACAGCATCGGAAGACTAGCAGTTCAGCCTTCCGAAAGACGGAAGAGCATTTTCTAGACTGAGCCGCCATGCTGTTGCGGCGGAAAAGATCGACTTCCCGAGCAATGCCCGCTCATGCGTGGTGTAGGCCATTCCATCTGTGGACGCGTGCGTGTTTGGAACGTCAGCATCAAGGGCTCGGGGATCTAGGTGCGCTGGTCATCATCCTCTTGTGGCCGCACATGACCTTCGCTCCATTGAACTATCATGCAAATCGTTGAGATATTGAAGCCATCAAAAGAGGGTTTTTGTTCGGAATGGCACCGGATGAGAAAGGGCAGTTCATGCACAATCTGAACGCTCGGCAGCTATGGGGAGGCGTTCCCAGGAGTTTCGCGACCCAAGTGCCGTCCGTCAGGCGGCAGGCCAACCCAGTCGAACTGGTTCGCCGGATGCATGAGAGCCTTGGAGCTCAGAGTCTGGAGCAGCACGCATTGGATGGTGTCAGAAGATGAGTGGTGGGGCAGGCAAGAGGGCGTGGCAGCGACTGGCAGAGCTCCGCAAGAGCAACAAGAAAAAGAGGGGGAATGTAGGATGATGTGTGGAAAGACTCGTTGCCCTAACAGTCCCAGACAGCAAGGCAAAGAGGGAAAAATCTTCGTGTGTGGTCATGGAAATGGGACAGGGTCACAGGGTTATAAATGCGCTGAGCGTTCGTCCGAAGACAAGTAGAATTTCTGATTCTTTGAATACTACCACTGCTGTACTACAGTTGCACGTTTTTCCATTGACTTCCTTCCGTGTGTTTGGCCGTGTTCTGAGAAGTGAGTCGAGGCTTTACCGGTACGTACCTTCGCTCCCAGCTCCCAGCACCACCCAGGTACCCCTCCTTCCTGTTTGCTCTTTTGATGCCAGCTGTTTTCCATTCGGGCAGCTTTCCCCGGGGGTGGCAGCTTGCCGCCTGGCCACCACAATGGCACCCAGCAGCCGTGGGCGACGGGCACCAAACCCTCACAAGGGGCTCCGGGCAAAGTCCTGTCCTGTTGAGCTGCTTGCCTGCTGGAGGGCTAAAGGGGGAGGGGGCTGCTGCTGCTCACACCTAGCACAGCTGCCACTGTCTACCCTGCCCCTCTCTGCCCACTCTACTGGATACTGCCGGCCACCTTTCTCCCGGTCTCCCATTGTTCTCTCTCCTCACCTTCGAGTTCGAGCCCTGCATTAGTTCCACTACCAAACTGCCACTGCCACTGCCACTGCCACTGCCACCTCCCCATCCACAAATCCACTACCCTGCACTGGGTATTCCCTCCCCAGTCCACCCACCTCAGTTCACCTTAACTCACCCTCGCAGCCCGCAATCCACTCCCACCCTATCTCCGTTCTCGGTGGCCACTGTCCACAGTCCTGACACAACTCAATAACTCCATGATGTTCATTCATCCCTCCCCGCTACTCCGACCGAGCTAAGCTAACTGATGTTTCCGTGCTAGTGCCCAAAAATTAAGGTACCCCCTTCCTGCCCTTCCCAGGCTCAAAGCTCTACCGGCAGACGCATTCAGCTCACGACATTGACCCAGACCCAGGTCTTACTACAAAACCACCTTACCGCCTGTTTATCTTTTCCAAACTTCTCCCTCTTGACTCTCTACTCTCTACTCATCTCACCTCTCCTCTCTTTCACAATGGTATTTGCCCGTGTTGCTGCGCGCTCCTTGTCGCGCCCCACGTCATCCCTCTTTTCTGCTTCCCCGCACTGTGTCCGCCGTGCAGCCATTCCTTCCATTGCCAAACGCACACTGACAGCCTCTGCTTCACGTCAGGGCAAAGTTCTTCTCGTCCTCTACGATGTATGTCTTCGTCCCCAATCCCCCCCAACTCCCAGGTTCAAATCATTGACCTGAAGCAGGGCGGTGAGCATGCCAAACAACAACCCGCCCTCCTCGGAACCACAGAGAACGAGCTAGGTATCCGGAAATGGCTGGAGGATCAAGGACACACATTGGTCACCACCTCCGACAAGGAGGGCGAGAACTCCAAGTTTGACCAGGAATTGGTTGATGCCGAAGTCATCATCACTACTCCGTACGATGCCGCCCACCCAGAGGGGAATACCTTAGCCGATCTTGACTAACACCACCAACCCCTCTAGCTTCCACCCTGGCTACCTGACGGCCGAGCGTCTTGCCAAAGCAAAGAAGCTGAAGATTGCCGTCACTGCCGGTATCGGTTCGGATCACGTTGACCTGAACGCCGCCAATGCCACCAACGGCGGTATCACCGTGGCCGAGGTCACGGGCAGCAACGTCGTCTCGGTTGCCGAGCACGTCGTCATGACCATCCTCACTCTCGTCCGTAACTTCGTTCCTGCCCACGAACAGATTGAGAGCGGCGACTGGAACGTCGCAGCAGTGGCCAAGAACGAGTACGATCTGGAGGGCAAGGTTGTGGGTACCGTTGCCGTTGGTCGTATTGGTGAGCGTGTGCTCCGTCGTCTGAAGCCCTTCGACTGCAAGGAGCTGTTGTACTTCGACTACCAACCCCTCAGCCCCGAGAAGGAGAAGGAGATTGGCTGCAGACGCGTTGAGGATCTTGAAGAGATGTTGGCTCAGTGTGATATTGTCACCATCAACTGCCCTCTCCACGAGAAGACGCGAGGACTGTTCAACAAGGACTTGATCTCCAAGATGAAGAAGGGTAAGTCGCACTGCACCAACAACGCTCTCCTCCCACCGACTTGAGACTGATCTTAACTCTCTATACAGGCGCATGGCTCGTCAACACCGCCCGCGGTGCCATCGTTGTCAAGGAAGACGTCGCCGAAGCCCTCAAGTCCGGCCAGCTCAACGGTTATGGTGGTGATGTGTGGTTCCCTCAACCCGCCCCCAAGGACCATCCTCTCAGATATGCCAAGAACCCATGGGGTGGCGGCAATGCCATGGTTCCTCACATGTCTGGTACCTCCATTGATGCGCAAAAGCGTTATGCTGCTGGCACCAAGGCCATCCTCGAGAGCTACTTCTCTGGCCGTCACGACTACAGGCCTGAGGATTTGATCTGCTACCAGGGTGACTATGCCACCAAGGCTTATGGCCAGAGGAACAAGAAATAAATAC